TCTGGCGTGTCTGTAGAAATAATTATGCAGGTCGTGTGTGCTTTGATGGTACAAAATACGTTTAAGTCACAGATCGTATTCATGCACCAAATACCGAAGAAACACTAGCCAATGAAATTTAAATCAAAGATTAGAAATAGTGCAACAACATTGCACGATTCACCTCCCAAAATTTATTCAAAAAAATTATTTTCTTGTACTCTTTAATCTCCTGTTTAATGGGGGCTCAACTGTCGTGTCACCCTTGATTGCGACCCAAAGTTCATGTTCACTTTGAGCCACAATTTAATTCATCTAGATTTCGTTCAGCAGTTTACTTATCATTTGTGTTGATATTCTCCATGGTTTCTAGTTTCTTTTTTTAATTGCTTTAAGTCTAAATGAGATTCTTACAACGTCTGAGAAGATTTAATCTACATCTGTAGGTCAGAATGATATAATTATCATTATCGCATAATATTTTCCGTTTCATACCCTCAAGAGTTTTGTAAACATATACCATATTTGTTTACATGGAGGAATGCTTTCTTTGACAATTTCTTGACATTACGACTTAATTTCGAACGATATTTTGATAACTTCTTTGACTTTCACTAATACAATCAGTATTATTTACGAATATTCTTAATGGGAGAAGTTTACGTGTTTGTCTATAGTAAAGACACGGCGTTTGTGTGATAAGTCAACAGACTTTGGTACTTGATGGGGTATAGAATGTTACAAATGAAATAACTTCTCTTTTATGATAAAATTAAAAAGAGCATGACATTCTGTGAATAACACAGAAGACGACATCACAGAGAAAGGTCATCAATTAATGGGTTAACGAAAATGAGACGAACAAGAATCACTTTAAGCACGAAATTCACTGTATTTTAATGTATGGATATGCAGTTTCAGTAAAATGTTCATCAAAAACTCGCACTGATGCTCACTGACACACTGACTATACTGAGTCGGTGGCAATGATTTACCTGACATATCCATACTCTTTAGATGTGTCAGTGCTTCAGTGAACACCGATCCCGTGTAGTTATCATGTCAATAGATTCACTGGCGATAAATCTCTGTCAGTATTTTAGTACTTTTATCGAAACTACACATCTTTATTTTAATACTGCTTGTTGATTGCAATATATACAACGAAATATTTTTATTTATTTGGACATGTTTTGCAACGTACTCACTCTTCACATATAATCAGACACAAGCGAACCCATTATTTTCGGTCTTGATCTTGGTCATGAAAAGATCGAGACTATTGCTCATATCTACGTATAATAATTCATTGTCATTTTCTATTGAATTGTATAGTTGCTCCGTAAGTTTTCTTCTAAAAAGGCAATTATTAGTTCAAGAGAAATGTACTTATATGTGTGTTGAAGACATCATAAGAAATCAGCGATATGAATAGTATTATGAAATTTCAGATATGAAACTGTAACGGCTGATCTTTTGAGCAAACTATTTTTTACCGATTTGGTTCAGTTTTACGGTTGTCCATTTTGTTGTAGTGGATTTTGTCCATTTCTATTAATTTTAGAAATCTGATAATCTTTGCAAAGAAACAATTAATTCTTCAATATAAATAATCTCCAAAACTCGAACACTTCAATACTGTTAATTAGCTTCTCTACAGAGGCGTAACTCATCATCGAAGAGAGAGAGAGCGAAGAATGTTTGCGTTACACAAAAAGGAGCGCTGAGTGGAAAAACTTAAGAAGAGGCACGCTATGCTCCTGCTTATGTAGTCAGCAATTTCAGACACTTTCGGTTTGTATATAGTAAGCAAATCTGTACGGAAGAGGACGCTAGAAGTCGATTTTCCTCTTTCAATAAAAACCTATAAACTCTCTTGAAAAATGAAATTTTCAAGATGAATATTTTTAAAATATGATTTATTTTTTATTAATAATATTTTCACCAAATTAACATTGTTATAATCATTTACTACTTCATAGAAAGGTCATACATAAGGCTTCATGGCTAATTTTTTTGTACTTTAACCAGTATTATATAGACTCAAAATACATAATACTGATGAAAACAATTGTGAAAAACTTCTATTTCTATAATATATTTTTATATTATTTCTAGACCTTTACTATCCTTTCATTCATCAAAAATGGTCGTACCAACAACTCAATTACCAACATCACCAATAGCAGCCGTTGCAAAATGGGATTCTCGATACTCTGGTCATGTACCACATGACACATCATATTATGCAAAATGTCTTTTCGGTGGTATACTTGCTTGCGGTTTAACACATACAGCAATTTGCCCACTTGATGTTACAAAATGTAACATGCAGGTAAGAAAAAATTGTTTATTTTAAATGCAAAAAACATTTTTTGGTTGTTCATTGTATGTATAGGTCAATCCTGATAAATATCGAGGTTTAGTTAAAGGTCTTCGACTAATTATTGCTGAAGAAGGAAGTCAAGCTATATGGAAAGGATGGCTACCAACATTCTTTGGTTATTCAGCACAAGGTGCATTCAAATATGGTCTATATGAAATTTTCAAAGATCAATATGCTAATATGCTTGGCAAAGAAAATTTTGACAAATATAAAGGTTTTGTTTGGTGTGCAGCATCAGCATCAGCAGAATTTTTCGCTGATATTGCATTATGTCCATTAGAAATGCTTAAAGTTAAAGTACAAACGGCACCACACGGAACATTTCCTGTAGCATTTGGTGCAGCATGGTCACAAATGAATGCACACCGTGTTGAAACTGGATTTCCGTATCGATCGATTGTACCATTATGGTCACGACAAGTGCCATATACTGTAGCTAAATTCTTCTTTTTTGAAAAGGTTTGCTTGTTTGTTTTTTTAATTAATGAAATTGTTATTGATTTTTTTTCAAAGGTCGTACAATTATTTTATACACATGTATTCACAAAACCAAAAGAAACATATTCAAAAGGAACACAACTTGGAGTTACGTTTGCTTCAGGTTATACAGCCGGTGTTATTTGTGCTATTGTTTCACATCCAGCTGATTCACTTGTATCACTGCTTGGTAAACCCGCTAATAAAAGTAAAACTTTAGGACAAATTATCAATGAAACTGGATTTGTTAAACTTGCCACTAAGGTTTGTTTATTTTTCAATAGTTTTAAATAATAAAATATCTATTTGAATTAAATTTAGGGTCTTGGTACTCGTATACTTATGATTGGTACATTAACTGGTCTGCAATGGTGGATTTATGATACATTTAAAACAGCTATGGGCATGGGAACAACTGGTGGCAAATAAAATATAAGAACATTTTCTAAGAAACTTGTAGCCCAACATTAGAATATTATGACCTGCATTCTTAAACCACTCTAGTGTTTGTTTTTTCTTTGCGACCATTCGTGTTCCTCGTATTAAAAGAAATATATCTGATCTAATTTTCTCTTTAAAAACAAACTTATTATTATACCTTTATAATTTAGCATGTGAAGAATATTCAATGAATGCATGATATATGCCAATTTGATCAATGCTTTTGTTCTTTTTTTTTCTATTAAATTTCCTACTGAAAACAAAAATGATTAGCATAGAAAATAATCATATGTGAGAGTAGATTAATATTATGAATGATACTGATTACAAGATAATCTGAACACTTTTTATTTATTTCATGCTCTTAAGTATTCATTATGTTTTCTTTTAAAGTTTTTTTTTCTAATGGCTTTATGTTGGCTGTTTTTTGAAAAAAAAAGCTCATTCAAATATATTAATTTGTTTGCTGTGTATAATATATAATTCGAAAAAAACGATTTTATTGTTGAGATAACTTATGAATAATCTTTAAAAAAAGTTTAATGTTTAAAAGAAACAGTAGGAAAATTTATTGAATGAATTCTACGGATCTATTATTTTTAACAAGGAAATATCTAATAGTTATTGTATAGCTATATTTCTAAAGTTTAATGAAATGCCATGTCAGATGAATAATGGGAAAATGACTATTAAAATGCATATGGATTTGTTTTTGAACCATTTTATGATCGCTGAGTCTGCTTAGTGGCTTTATTAGGCTGATTCAGGTATATTTGTAGTCTCTAAAAATTATATGATTCACTAGTCTTTTCTTAGCTAACGTTCATATTTCGCACCAAAGTCAAGAATACAGTTCAACATCTACACTAAAAGTCGATGAAAACTTTCGATTGTAATGAAGTCAAGCTTAAGAGTAATCAGAACAGCTAGTTGTTGCATGATTTTTAACAATGCATTGGTAATTCTTAAATCAGGAAGAGTTGTACTCTTCATAATACCCATTGCATTCACAACTTTTTCCTTGAAGATTGAATGTCTATAGTTGAAAATAGCATAATCTTTGTTAAAGACAGTGGATTGCGTTCTTGTCCACCAAATGTGCGATATGCCATAGAAAATAGACCTAGCACTTTTTTTTCTAATAAGTGGAGAACGAAAATGATTCTAAAGTAACGAGGTACAATGGATTTTTCGAAATTTCAGTGTAGATGAATGAGACGTCAAATTTTCTTTATATTAGACCAAAATCAGAATTTCAGTCATATTCTTAGTCCATGCACATAACATAAAACTTCAAATTTAAATACAGTTGAATAGTCAGAATCTGAAGATAAAATTTTCATTCTCCTATACGAGATATATTAAAATGGATAAAGCTAAAAGTTATTACCTGCTATGGAAATCCAGTTATGGTTATTATTATTATTATCATTATGGTGTTTTTTTATTAAGCAAAAGTAACCAGAAAAACTCAGAATTGATACAGTTAATTCTTTTATTTGATAACACGTTTATGATCACACAGCATCATCAATCCATGACACATCAATCTGATGATGTAGAAATATTTATACAACACTCGTTTTCTCAAATAGTAATTTCTAAATAAAGCATGTACAATTTGTGTTACATGAATACTACTTTATTCGACTTTTTTCTAAGTTTTTTATTAAAAGAGTTTATTGTACTCTAGATCCTTCTGAAAAACATTTTTATAATGATTACTTAGGTAAGTACCTCCCGTAATATGACATCATGTTTCGGAATAGTATAATGTAGCTTCATACAATATCAAATTGATAAAATCAGCTATGACTAAAATATAGTGTTTTCTTCTATGGTGCTTTCTTTGTAAATAGAAAAGTTATTTCTTATTATTGGGTCGTTTACATTCTGTTTACTTGTCTATAGCTGCAGAAATATCTATGCTCAAATATAATATAGAAAATATAAATTTTCAAAAAAATACATGAAAATGTAAGACGAACAGCAAATATGAATAGTTATATTAGCAATTTTTCGAGGCATTTATATGTATTCAGTCCCTGACTGAACATGTATAAATTCTTTTCATCAATCTAATTTTTCTTTTACATGTATATTGTCTTGCAAAAGAGACCATCAATATATATATGAAGAGTGATTGGTTGTACATATGTATGTTGACCAGTGTACGCACATCTATGTAAAATGATCAACTGACATACATGCCTGTGCTTACTTTTAATCTTATATGTAGAAACTTATTCCCAGATCTACCATTAATTTTTCAACCTAATTGCAGTTTCTATTTTCATTAAACTATTCCCAAGCCTCATTTGATAATTTCTCCAAATGATGGTCTTAGAGTAAGATATATCAATCTAATGAACGAGTAATCAAAATTGTTAGTCTTTTACATTTTTTTCTGTGAATAAAGAACAATATTCATAGTTTTTTTTTCAGATTAAATCTGTATCTGGAAATAATTGCATTCTTTAACATCGTTGTCACAAATAGATTTATCAATATGCTTTTATGCACGTTCGATCACTTGAACATTATTTATTCTTTTCTTTTCTGTTGTCTTCGTATCTAAATTATCTGCTTAGTGCATTCCTAATGGTCAATAGTAGTCTCCGTCTTCAAACAAAGAACACTGATCGATCAGGAAAATTATTTGAAACGCAGATGATGTAGCTGTAACATGTTCGTTGTTGCTTCACATAATACTCAACTCAAAATATTTCAGGTTCAACTGCACATTAGCTACACTCTACACTAATTTGTGTAAGCAACAAGGCACATCAAAGAGTGTGGGTGCCGCGGTGTAGCTAATCTGCAGTTGTACCTGAACAATGATTACATAGAGGATATATTGAATGAAATGTGTATGATACCTGTAATGTAAAGAAGAAAATAAACCAAAAGATGAGTTGAGCATCTAGAAAGCGTAGTATATAGCTTAATCATCATTTCGCTAATAAAATATTGCAGGACACTTCCTTTATTTTTTAGGCGACTGTTGTAATCCATTACTGACATTACGGTATACATTAGATATCTTCACATTCTACGTTTGATATGAACATAAGACCTAACTGACAATGTTGTTTCTATTAAATTGAAAAAACTGCGCAAATTATTTATTTATATCAGAATACGTTGAGCTTTATGATTTAAAGTATTTCCTAAAATTTTCACCGTGTCTATCAAACACAGCTGTGTAACTTTCTTTGCCATAGTCTAGTTTCTTAATTCTGAAATAAGCTTTGTAGTTTCATTTAAATCATTTAATGATAGACAGATTCCAAGTAAAACAAAATTCTTGTTTGTTTTCGTTTGTGTGGTAGCATTTGATAAAATTGAGAAATCAATAGTCTAATGGATGACGTAAAAATAATAGTAATTTCTATATTTTCAACATTTCTTTCTCTTAAGTCTACTAGATCAAGCTTTTTTCGTTTTCACTCAAAGATTTCCTTTAAAAATCTGTAGAACAATGGATTTAATTCATCGCTTAGAATTATTTTTATACTTCAGTGCGCATGAGAAGTTCTTTGAAATTGAGTACATAAAATTAAAATATCCTTTTTGCGAAAATTTCTATAAACTTTTTCGAGTAGTTCACTCCTATTATCTCGTCCAAGAATAGTGAACATGCATAGTTTACAACAGTTCATTAAGAGAAACTTCACTTATAAAAAATTAATTCAAATTATCACTTAGAACACATTTCTGCTGAAGTGATGATGGAATTAGATCGTTAAAACAGGTTACGAAAATAGTCAAAAAAGTAACATTTTATATTGTGCACTCGATTTCATTTGACATTTACTAGCCATGCCTGATAGTGGCAATGACAAATATATATGTGAGTGAATTAAATTGTTCTTTAGATGATTCAATACAGTTTTCATTCAAACATTAACGTGATAAATACGAAGAAACAGGATATGTTGAAAATAGCAGATGTCGTATTAAATAATTCGTTAATTTCAGATTCAAGTACGTTGGGATGCATTTTCTGAGAGTATAGTCAAGAGTGGGGTATTAGATTTTTTACATAAAGCATTTAAGATAGCACCAAAGATATCCAGAGAATATAATGAACAAGATATGTAGCAAGAAATCACGTGAAATGGGAGAAGATAAAACATAGGCAGAGAAAAGTATGATAAAGTGACACAAAAATGCCAAAAAACGGTACATGTTATCAGCATTATTTTGTTATTTTTTTAAAACCATTTTCACTGTTCGAAAAAAAAATCATTTTAATGGACGACAAAGGAATCATTTTTTGGAATTAGACGAATATCATTTGGGCATTATTTATGACAGTTTCGCACCATTTGTTTATTACGATTTGAAGGCATTTTAATGCCATTTTACCATTTTTATCCCTGCCTGAGTGGTACACATACATACGATTATCAAAATATACTAAGGTTTTCTTCTTGCATAGCCTTTCGTTGAAAGGAAAAGATAATTTTACTGTTCTTCTTTTGCCTTCTACTATCGTCAGCATGACACGATAAAACACCACAATCGAGATGCGTGTTTTGTGTTGTTCTCTCTTACTTCGTATATATATATACATGAATCAAAAAGAAGAATTACACAGTCAGAAATGACAAACATATATGATTTATATGTTTTTTTCACAAATTTACATCGTATTTTTTAGTCCTTTTTTTTATTAATAGATCGAATTTGAAAAAAGTCTTGGCATTATATTAAGTATGTCATCCAGTGCACTTGTCTTTGGTGCTAATGGTTATATAGGTTTCGGCATAGCTGTTGGTCTTCGTCGTTCTGGCTTTCACGTCTTCGGAGTAATTCGTAATAGTCGTCATTCAACGCTTCTTGCTCAAAACGAAATTGAACCAATTGTCATTGAATCATTCGATAAAGTAGACTTACTTGCTGATCAACTTGCAAAAAGTTCGGTGATTATTGATGCTGTTGGTTATACAAAATCATTATCTGAAATAATACTTCAAGCCGTCACTAAAGCTGGTCAACAACGGACACAACATGGTAAATTAGCTCATTATGCACCTCTTTTTGTTTTTACATCTGGTATTATGACATGTAAGTGAAGTTTCTCTTTGATTTTTGAATAGAAATCAATTTATTTCATCGAATAGATGGTGATACAACCATGTTTGGGTCATGTCCAGTTGATGAAATGATTAAACCAAATCCACAAACAATTGAAATGAAAACTCGAGAAGACTATGAAAATCTTGTTCTTGCTGCATCATCTAATGTTCTTCATACAACTGTTATTCGACCAGGTTTTGTTTATGGTAGTCATGGTGGTTTTGTTGCTGATCTATTCTATTCCGAAAAAAAAGCTATTATTCATGGACGACGTGATAAACGATGGAGTTGGGTACATATTGATGATTTAGCTGAAGGATATGCTCTAATAGCACGAGCACCACGTGCAATTATAATTGGACAAATGTGGAATTTAGCTGCACCTAATGATAATCCAACATATGAAGAAGTAAGAACACATATGGCTCGTGTTAGTGGACAACAAGTTGAATATAAAGAAAAAACAAATGACGATAAAATTCCTCCTCGTTGGGATACAGATTCAATTATTAATCCATCGAAAGCTATTGATCAATTAGGCTGGCGACCAAAACATGTAGGTTATATACAAGAAATTGAAACATATTACAAATCATGGGCTGCATATAAACAACAACAAGCGGCAACAGATGAAAATAAAAAGTGATTATTATGAATAATTTTTTTGTCACTTAATAAAATAGAATTTCGGCGTAATTTTATCGATAGGCAAAATAAAATTTTTCTTATTTATCTAGAAGTCAATGTACTTCCAATATACTATTCAAGATTCTTATAAGCAAATTTTTCTCTTTCTAAAAGAAATAAAATACCAACGACTTAAGAAAGAAATATTTAGAATCGTTTGGGCTCAAATTCATATTGAATGGAATTATGATATTTTTTGCTTTTTTCTATGCGATAGAAGAGATTTATTATATGTTATGGCTATTATCATATACAGACCACGATCTACTACAATCAGCTCTATTTTAAAAGACGACAGCTATAAACAAACAGTAATGATGACTCATTTTTTATGTGCTTATGACGGTGATACTTATTTTATCTTGGTTTTTTTAAATATCAATATGACGTATTTCTTATATTTTTCTTGTTTGAATATTTATTTATGCATAGTAGCTGTCGTTTGTCAATAGCAATTTAATTAATTGATTTTATTTGCATAGTTCTAAAAGAAATGGAGGTTGATTTACAAACTAAATGTTCACTAGAGATGATGTTGAACATGACGGATACCATGTCAAATAGTCAGCAAAACAAATTTACTTATTTAGAGATACAGGGACAGCCTATTAACTATGATTCTTTGTCAAAGGGCTCTAGCAAGCTTCTTAAGAATCCCATGATATTTCTCTATTGGATAAAACATTTCTGCAATGAACAAAAACTATATAAAGCAAAACAAAGAAAAAGATAAAATTGTTATCGCCTTAAAAAAGTTATATGCAACAAAATGTCCTTGTATAATTCTTCTTGTTCATCAAGAACTAGTTTTTCTAATTCAAATTCTATTCCTCCTGAACCTTCTCAATAGTCAATTTTTTTACTCATTATTTTCAATTACCAGTCCTGGTTTATCGTCACGCATATAAATAGCGTAATATATCCCATTGAATAAAATTTCCTTTGAAACAGCTACCATGGACGTATATGCTGTTATTAAGAGTGAAAAAAACAAATACATCTGTATGTTGGAAAGTTTTTGGTGTTGCAAAATGATCAAATATGTTATCGAGCATTTGTTTACACATCAAATACTACCACTCGAAATATGCTGTCTCATTCATGTGCCAAAAATTTATCCGAATCAATTAGAAGAGTCGTTCATTTTTTTAAGAAAAAACATGAACTGAGTCGGTTTCTTTTGACAGAGCTCACCCAATTGGAGCCTTTGGTCAGCAGCAGTATTTCTAGATTTGGTGGTTAGAGTGTTTGATAGATATTAGAGATGTTACTTTTTTTGTATAAGCTTATTTTCATCTGTGTGAAATATATAAGTACGAAAAATTTATGTCACACGTTTTTGAACATTTATTTTCTTTCAATCTTTTTGTAAATCCAGTTTTATGATCTGCTGGTCATATTATATCACTATATAATCAATAGTATCCTCTAGCAAATGTTTAAGCATAGTGGTCAAATAATAAAAATTTGTTTCAGAAGAAGTGATTGAATAAACCATTCTTTAATTTGAATTAGAAACAAAGCAACTATAATATCTGTAGAAAAAAATCACTTTGATGAAAACAGAAACGATCCTGTCAGTTAGTTTATTCTGTAAAGCCAACCATAAATATTGTATTTTCATTCTTTGATTAGCATTTAAGAATAGAAATGTAGAAGCTGGTAAACATATTAATTTTCTTAGCAATAACGGTATGCTTTATGTACAAAACCAAGGTTATCTAGTGCTATATTTATTCTATTGTAAGAAAACTTCTTTTATTCTATGGTTTATTACATAATCTCTTTTGTTTCGAATCATTATTGATCATGAGCAGCCTTTATCTTTTGATTATTCTCGCAGAGACTTGACACAAACAGATTATTCCTTCATTCAGACACATGTATATTTCTTGTTAATTTGATCGCACTGATAAATATGTATATTTGACAGTAAAAACACATAGTGTATTAGTATGGCAATGCCAATTATTTTTTGTGTGAGTGAGGCTGTCAGTGTGACTAGACAGGAGCAACTCGTACTCTCGTATGATACCTGTAGATAGCGATGGGCATCTCTTGACATCAGTGCTTATAGATGCGTAGATGTGCCCATTCATGTGCACTAATGAATGAGAATTGCTCACGTTCAGTCATGTTGGCTTATGCCTGATCACACTGCCATCTTCACATACACAATATTCTGCGCGTGATGTTGCATGCAACGAATTGTCGTAGCAATGGATTTTTCTATCATAACTTTTTTAATGACATTATTTTAGGAACCAATTTATTCATGCTTTTATATCAACAAAGAGAAAATATTAATAAAAGACTTGAATAATTAGTTTAACAAAAAGATCCTTGAAAAATGAAATATTTAAGCAATTTAATCATGTCTTCATTATGGTTCACTTTCATTTTATGATGAAGTTTAATTATTGATGTATGATAATAACTTTCTTCAATTTCTTCTTGTAAGCGACAGAAAAGGTACTATCAACAATTAACTTCAAAAAATTCGCCAAAGTGGTCATCTGTTTTTTAAGTTTCTTTTTTTGGCCACATCTAGTCCTCGAAAAAAGTGCAAACGATCCGCATGAAATTTTTACCACGAATATTGCACCTAAAATAAGAAGACTGATATTCGAGGAAAAAAGTTTAAATAGGGCTTGCTAAGATTTTTTGAAAGAATCTTAGTTTTCTATAAGAACACATCGGATCAGCTTATAATCTCCGTTCAACTTTGTCCGATCAGGCTGAAATTTTGGTCACAGTTACTTGCAAGTATTTTTCAGAGGTGAAACCAGTCGTTTTCGTTTTTTCGATCTTCTTATTCGGATTCATAAAGCTCTGAAATCCAGCATTCCGGCTTTTGGACAAGCTTAAAACCATCTCTTAGATATAGTCTAAGATATCCCCTCACACAAATGTTCAGTCTGATCGAACAAAGTCAGATGGGGATTGTAAGCCGACCCGATGCGATTCTATGAAAAATCTTATCTAAAATTTTTTTTTCTTCGAACATCTGTCTCCTTGTTTTAGATGTTCTATCAATGGTGTACTATTAAATAATTAATAAGCAGCGAAAAGAAATTTTCTTATATGATTTTACTATCTTCTGTGGATTGTCATTGATGAATTTTATTGAAGAAAAGAAACAGATTCGAAAAAAAGTACAACGGTGCCCTCACCAGGATTTGAACCTGGGACCTTCGCTTTACAAGAGCGACGCTCTAGGCCACTGAGCTATGAAGGCTTATTGAACATAGCGCCACAACCAACGCGGCTAAAATCATTAATTATATGAACAACATGATTGAAATAAATATAATATTTTAGTTATCTCTATAAATATTTCTTTTTGTTGTACATTAAGAATATCGACATTCCATTCAATCAAATGGATTATGATAGGAATGTTTGTTTGATTGTATCAGACTCACGTCTTCATCTCATCCTTTTTTCTTTTATGCTTACTTTCATATACATTCTCATTTTCCTTTTTCATCCTTTTTTTCTTCTCTTCATTCAACATGGGCAACAAACCATCACAAGCTTCAAAAGTTCAGGTATTTTTTTAATTTAATCTCAACTTCAAAATCTATCTATTTCTCTACAGAAATCATCATTGATTATTACTCATATGGCTGATTCAAAAGTGCCAAGAGCAACTTCGTTACCAGCTATTCCATTATCATTAGGTGCAGCATCTCTTTCATGTCTCGCTGCTGAACATCATCAAATACATGATCAAGAATCACTTGATGCTTGGCGTACAAAAGCATTGCATACTATTGATGACCTTTGCGAACAAAAAGCATCATATTTACGACATGAAGCACATGTCAGTGCATTATTAGGTCAATTAAGAGCAATAATTGATGAAGAAATGCCTCGTCATGAAAGTGGATATCTTATGGATAACCATCATGTGCAACAAATTCAAATGAATGCTAATAATTTAAGAGAATAAATATTTTTTCAGTCATGTTTTCTCTTTAATTAAATTTTAAAAATAAATTAGAGTTAAGCAAAGAGAAAATATGTCAATGATATGTTTTAATCTAGATATGAATCATTTTCAATAGAAAGAAAACTCTACGGAATTTGCAGTGATACGTATGGCATGAACTATAGAAATAGATTTCGATATAATTAATTAAATGATAAATTAATGAAATGTTTGTATCAAACATTTCATTACCAACTGTGAGATACTAAGATCATAATAGTGAAAAATCTCCCTCTCTCCCATTTCTCCGAGATGCTACCTTCGATTGATCTGAAAATATTTTTACAGACACTAGGCACTCTTTGAGAGGCGAATCTTTTTATTTTTTGTCCTTCGAATATAAAAGCCAAAATAACAAAGGTGCCCGAAAAAATGCATGTCTTTCAGAATAGAGCCTTTTCTTGTAACAGCTACTAAAAATTAGCAGAACGATATGTTTTGAAATGAAAAAAAAAATATTCATCAGAAACAATCTATTGTATATGTGAAAAAGATTTGATTCGATTGGACGCACTAAGTATGAAGAACGGAAGTGTTTCTGTACCTTTTTTCATGAAAACGTCGGTTTGCGAAAAACGCAAAACAATGTAGAATTTTTGGTATTTCTGTTACTTAAATTTGGTTTCTTTAACATTTGCGGACAATTTTTGGATCCCTAAATGTACGTACGAATGAATCTCTTCGGGTATTTTCTTCCGATTTCAATGATTTTTTTGTCTATAGATATTAAATGATGCCTTTGACAAAAAGTCGTCAAAGGATTTTGATTCCTATTAATATTTGACTAAGCTATCGAATTTTCAATATGTCTATCATCTAGAAGTTTATTCGGAAAACTCATATGGTCGAATTTTGATCTGGAACTTCGGGCATAAAGAAAACTCAACTAGACTAGTTTGTACAGAAAAATTCACAAGTTTTGAGCAAACTTTCATCGAGACATGAGACTTTCAAGATATTAACCCTTTTCCATGGATAGTGTATACAGCATGCATTTTTTTTTTGAAAGTTTTATGTCTCTCAGAGACTTTATATAAAACTTGTGAACTTTTCTATGAAATTTCATGTGATTGAATTCCCTCTATATACAAAGTTCCAGACGAAAATTCGAAAAAATGAGTTTTCCAAAAAAACTTCTAGAAAGAGTCATATTAAAAATTCGATAGCTTACTCAAATCCCGATAGGAACCGAAATTCTTTAGGGTTTTTATTAGAACACTATGCAGTGTCTACACGAAAAAACTCATTGAAATCGGAAGGGAACCCCTAAATAGGTTCCCTCGTTAGCAGATAGATACCACTTCAGACCACATGATGGCTAACAAAAAAACAATAAAAATTTTAAGTCACGAAAAGGAGATGTTTCCTTAATGCTCTAGGAAGTGAACCTATAGAAAGAGTCTTGGCGATTTCGTATAATCGAAATAGACGTATTAATATATGCCGAATCTAAAACAACAAAGAATATACTTTGGATACCACAATTATTAAATGAGATTTGTTTTCAATTTTTTTCTGCTCCTTTGAACGTTGAAAAAAATCCACAGAGGGAATTGAATAGAGAAAATCGTTTTCAAAATGAATATAAGAAAATGAAAATTATTATGAGGTTTCTAAAAACCGAGACTTTAGAAAATCGAACGGTCAATTTTTCAGTACCTAGAACGAGTGAATATAATTTTATTTAGACTAGATAGAACGACAGAATAAACAATTGCCTACAAAATAAGACGTCTTCGAGTTTTTTGCAACGTTTTCTCGCTGAGATACAGCAATCTTACGAAAGCGCCTAAAGTCGTTTTTTGAGTACGATTTCTTCCATAATAACCTTTTTTCACCTTCAATGAAATTGCTGTATCTCAGTTAAAAAGCGCCATAGGAAACTTGAAGACGTCGCATTTTCAAGACAATTTTTTACTCTCTCTTTTTATGTAGTCTAAACAAAATTATATGTATCCGTTGTAGGTGCTGAAAAACAAAGGTTTTGATTTTCTGAAGCTTATATCTTTGTGAATCTGATCATTTTTAATTCTTTACACCTTTATTGAAAACCATTTTTTATATTCAGATGACTATTTGAATTCTTTCTAATGGTTACGGCGAAGAAAAACAAAATTGGCAATAAATTTTGCTATCCACTGTTTATAGTAAATCAACTGTCTTGTTCTGAAATTATCATGCACATGATCGTTCTGTAAATGGAGATGCCAAGTTTCTCCTCCTGAACTTCCCTATCTCAAAGAACAAAAATACATATCAAACTTCTTTTCTTTAAGTATTTTTTATCTATATCAAGCTGTCCATTATGTGATGTGGTTCTGCGTTCCAGGCTATGTAAATCTATGGCGCATTTTTATGTCAAGAAATTGAAAACGAAAGTTATAACCTTTTCTATACGACTGATACATTTTAAAACAAGAAGTCTGTTGTTAAAGTTAATTTGTGCCATATCTGTTTCTAACACGTTTTACTTTTCGTAAATGAAACTTTAGAAGTGAGCATACATTTGATGTCATTAGTATTTATTTCGAAAATAAATTTTCAATATTGACAAAATGACTTCTTTTTTACATAGAGCCAATGCGAAATTCAATCGACTAAGTTCTACGAAGAGTAATTTGAATGTCTTGAATCAAATCATTTTGAAATAAAATCAGAATAAAATCGAATCATCTCATGTTCACTAATATGTGTGTCAAAATATCCCAGAAAAGCGCTTCATATATTTACTTGATATATGCAGAGAATAAAAAATGTGAAATAATCAAGGGTAAATATAATAAAAAACAATATTTGGTTAGTTAATGAACTGGTTTTACTTACTTCCCACGAAGTTTACACGTTTATCGTGTCTATTGATTAAAAATAAAAATTATATGACAATGTATTCTGAAAGAGATATGTCTCATTGACGTAATCATTTTTTCTGTTACGAATGACTAATATAGATGCATATTTTATCGATGATTCTATTTCATAATTCGAATTTTAATGTGTCTTGTGTCGCCCTCTCGTACTACAATCTGTGTGATTCGGTGTTTAGTTGTTTGTGTGCCCACTTGACGACATGCAACTTGTTTTACCTTGTTTCTTTTGCTTCTTTCTTTGTCTTTAACAATCTTTAAAAACCTGTCTGCACATTGCAGATTTAACTTTGCACACACCATGCACACAACCACATATATAAAAGCTTATTCTACTTGTTAACTGGTTTTCATCCTAAGTTTTCATCATAATGACAGATGTCAATTTTTTTCTTTTCTTTTTTTAGTCTGTCTCATCAATAGGTCTGTCGTAAAGGTCTATTAGTCACATTTCGTTTTCGTGTCTTTGTAATTTTCTATAATATATGCAGAATTGCGCAGAGCAAAACAAGTTGTGATTCATAGTTGGCAACACATGCATTATGCCAACCATAACTATATGTGCGTTTTTTTTTGAAAACGCATGTCCATCGATTGAAGTCATGTAATGTTGGAAAAAAAGCTCACGTACACAGTAGTTTGTTATCTTTATTTACTATGTTACTTTTTCTAGATATATATTTAAAAAAATCAAGAGACAGCGATAAATAAATATAAAGATTTGAGTCTTCCGAAATGTTGAAACAGCAGCAACACCTACTAATGGTTGAAACACTTTTACTTTCAGCACCATTAGATGTAAGAATTTTAAGTTACTTTTGCTTTCTTTTCGAAACAAAAAATAAATTTCTTTCGCTAACCATATTGTTCCGTTTCTATCGCATTTGTAAAAGAAAAACAATAGAATTATTAGAATATCCATTTCTTCTCCCTTTGGATACCAGACGCACGTTTTTATTTTTTTAATGATCATGCCAATATGTACACTGCTGCTTGACTTACAGATTAGAAAAAATAACGACTAGAGGAAAAAGAACGAATAGTAATGCATAATGCTTATTTGTTCTTACGAAATTTAAATACTAGTGAATATAATAGAAAATATACGCATACATCCTTTAAATGCTTCTCCTTTTCTTTCTTCAGAAAGATTAAACCATAGATATGAATAGAACACTGAGGTTTTGAATTATCGTAATTTTTTTTTATTCTATTCAAGAAGTAAATTTGTTATTTCATACTAAAAAAATATTTTATATAATTTTCATATCGAGCTTTTTTCTTGCACTGCTTCTTTTCTTTCTCTAATTGCTTCCCACAATGAGTCATAGAAGAATCACGTTTTTGTAAGTATTCATGATAAGAAGTTTGATAGGTAAAAAGACGTCATTTACCGGTATATTGTTAGTTTTTTTTTCTATGCAGTTTGTATTGTTATTCATTATGATTAGATTAGCAAAATATATTTTGATAAAAGCTATTATAAAAAGTAGATGAGACGTTCTTTTTTTCGTATTAATAAATTCCTTACTTTATATTTCTAGATGACTAACGAAATATCTTCTTCACCATCTTCCCAATTGAGTATCATTGTTGATTTAACATCATCAACATTTGATTTAAAAAAACTTTGCCATCAACTTCCATGTGGATCACTCCCAAATTTTGATCATCATTATTGGCATTTTGGCGGACTTCGATCTTATACAATCCCATTTCAATCTAATCAAGATGAAACAATTATTGATAGTTTTATGTCAAAATTAAAATTATTACAAAATTATTTATCTCCTTTCCCACCATTTTGGATTTCACATAAAAAATGTCAACAACAACAACTTCTGTTATCATTAACACCATCCGAGGTTATCAAAAAAAATCTTAAATTAGGGAAGTTTTATACAAATAACATGTTTCAAATAGAATATACATCAGGTGCACTTGTACAATTAAATAAATATATTTATGATGTACAAACAGAAATAAAAGATGGATGGCGTCTAGTTTTTTATCACGATAGAATTGATATTGATTATGGTTGTAAAACGAAGAAATTACGAAAAACATTAAAAGCCGAAATGATAGATAAATGTGTTGTTATAATGACTGAACAAAATAGATTAATGTTTTTTATTAATATGAATGGAAATCTAATTGATTATGAAAGTTTAAATGATGACGAAAAAACTAATTTAGAACAGGATTCTTCATCACAAAAACTTAATGAATCTTTGGCTTCATACACACGTATTGCACCTCGTGAGTCGCAAACATTTTATTCAACAATTCGTCTTGTGATATCATTTTCAAATGATAATATTGATGAAGAAAATCATACAGAAAATCTAAAACGGTTAAAATATTGTTTTACACAATTTCAAGAATTTTTTCATCGTAATCATATAAATGATTGTTTTGGAATTATCAAAAGTGTACCATCAGCAAAAGATTTCCTATCAATAATATCATCATTTATGAATAATAATACAATGTCATTTATTAAACAATATTGTTGGCAAATGTTATTATCTATTGGTTATCGTTTTCAACAAAGATTAGCAGAAGATTTTATTCAACAAATGAATCTCATGGAGGATGATGACGAGTTTTATCAGGTAAATTCAAATAGAATAAAGAGTATATCTATATTAAAAAAAAGTGTGTGCTTTTTTTCTTTGGAACGTACATATTAATATGTGAGCGTAACTTCTTTATATCGAAGGTTTTTGTGGTTTTTCTTTCTTTTAGAAACAGTTCCACATTGTAATTCAATAGATTATTAATTTTGCAATGTGAAACATATTTTGTAAAACTTGCGTATGTTTTTTGAAGGGTGTTGGTGAGTTTGAGTCTTTCGTTCTCGCATACTCACACCAGATATTGAATTGTTGCGGTTTCGAAAGAAAACTGCGAACCGATTCCATCTAAATCTGATATTCTAATACATTTATAGAGGATATTCTTCCACTCTTACGGACTACATCTAGTTCATCGCGAGAGTATAATCAGTCAGATTCAAACTTTTACCACAGCTAGATTGTCGAAAATGATATAACTCATGTTTGACGAAAAAATTTAAAAACAAATCGTGACGTGTTTTTGAAGGGACGTTCAAAAACCATCGAATCTGCTGACGACTCCAGTCTTACTTTGTTCGATTGGGCTGAAACTTTGTCTAGAAGTAGTTGAGACATAATCTCAGAGGTTTGAATTCCTTTTGAAAAATATCAAATTCTAATTTTAATTAGAAAAATAAGAGAGAAACTAGTTCAAAAATTGTTTTACCAACTGATACTTCTTGTATTTTTCTAATTAAAAACCAAGAAATTGATGTTTTTCAAAAACCTTAAAACATCTCTGAGATTTTATTGCAGATGCGTTTAGAAAAAATTGCAGTCCGATCGAACCAAGTAAGACTGTGATGGTAGGCAAGCCTGATGGTTTTTGAAGATGCCTTCAAAAACACCTGAAGACTCGCTTTTAATATTTTCTCCTTGAATATGAGTCGCGGTAGTTCTGATAATTTAGCTATGATAAAGTTTGAGTTCAATCAATTGTTCTCTTACAGAGAACCATAAGTAGTTCAATAGAGGGAGAGACACCATTAATGTGTCTATAAATTTTGACTCGGTTTAGTTAAAAAAAGAATATGAGTCAATTCTATCTCTCGCACACTCCCTTGACAAGCCGAAAATTCTCCGTGGCCGCTCATTCTATATCTATTTTTTTTTCTTTTCAATTCGAAAGAGCATGTCAGAGTCCTTTGGTTTCAAGTCTTACTTCTTATGGGAAGAAAAAGGATGCAACAAGAACGACGTGTAAAATAAAAAAATCACATTGTGTGTGATAGATCCGACCTCAACCTATCTATCTCGAATGTTTATTTACACTACCGGTAGTATATCGGGATAGGATGGCGGTCAGAAATTAGCCAGCCGTGGGAGTTTCAAACTACCGCCGACTGATTGCCGTGCTGGTATAAGACACATTATACTGAACTGTCTGTCTACCGACGATATTTTTGCATTTTGAGCTATATGAGAATCCTCTCTTATATTTGCCTTAATTTCGATTAATTTGAGAGAAATGAACGTTTTTGTAGGGAGAAAGACTATAAAAAGTGTGTGAAAATATACTTTATTCTTTCAAAAACCTTCAGAATTTGAATTAATTGAATATCAAATATTATTATCATTGATTTTTATTATCTAGACATCTCTTCATATATGGCGTCGTTCAAGTGAATATTATTTTATTGATTTACTTGCTGAGTTACGTCGTTATCGAGAAAAAATAACTGCTTTAGCAGTATTATCATCTCCTGTGACTCATTATCAACAAGGATTTAAAAAAGAAGACAATGCACAAGAACGTTGGAGTCTACATAATCCGCCACGTAATTATGCATATGTTCCGTCAGTAACACTAACACCAACGACTATTTGTGTTAAGCCATTTAAATTAGTTAAAACCAATCGAGTTTTACGTGAACAAAAATTTGGTGGAAATCTTATGTTTGCTCTAGTTGATGTTAAAGATGAAAATGGTACAAAGGATTTATTTCCACATGATTGTATGTTGAAAAATTAATTTTTTTTTTTTTATAAGTTTATTATATAATTATTGATTATTGTTTTTGGTTTTTAATTTAGATCGAGCTTTACGTTGGAAAATTGAAATGTTACTTGAATCAGGTTTTGATTTAGGTAAAAAAGGTCGAACATATCGTTATTTGCATCATTCACAATCACAATTAAAAGATAAACAATTCTGGTTTTATCATCATGATAATAAAATAAATCTTTCATTTGAAGAAGCATTTAGTTGGATGGGAGATTTTCAAGACGAAAAAATTGTTGCTAAACATGCAGCACGTATTGCACAATGCTTTACAAGTGCTGAAGCAACTATTCAAGTAAAATAAATATTCTTTTATTTATTAAGCTTGTTTTTTGCTTTTAATTCATATAGATTCCATCTGAACAAGTTGAATATATTGAAGATATTCATACAGATGATCGCAAATATAATTTCACGGATGGCGTTGGAACAATGTCAACAGTCATACGTGATAATGTAAGATAATATTCATTATTAATTCATGTAACAAACCAAATAAAAAATAAAAGCATTAGAAAAAGCTGTTAGAGCAATCTCTGCTGGACTAAAATGTAGTACACGATATAGCTATTGTTACTAGTCACAGGAAATTTGTCTTATTCCATCTATTTTCGAATACATTTCTTCACTATCCTATTACTTAATCCTCCTAAAATATAGTAGTTCATTTATTAGAACGAGACGTTATTAATATACGACCTTTGATTGTATATCAATGAGAAATCAAACGTTGCTTGCTAGGAAAATGAACGAATATTTCTACCTCTCAACTACTTTGCAGCAGATTCTATACTCCGACATCTTTCCTACAGCCAATACTAATAGTAGCTCTAAATAGGAAGTCAGTCTGATGCAGAGTTCTTGCAGTCAATCGCTTGAATTCTTCCATACACACTAACTAATCACAAGGGCAAGTGAATGTCAAGACTTAGTCAGCATGCTATTGGATGGATAATCCGATACGAAACAGCTGTTAGTGACTTATCTAGAATCATTCTATGGCTGACGGTACCGAGATCTGAGCACAGTATCTATTAGATACATGCCGAACAACATAGTTAGTCAGTCATAAGGATTCTCGCTCAAACACTTGCTCGCTATACAAATTTTTACAAAAATTTTCAAGAAAATAACGACATATAAGGATACAATAAATCAACAGTGTGAGAGTAGGTATTCTCTTTACTTAGACTTCATCATTAAATATCCGCGCGCTATTATTCTAGGCTCACATCAACAACGTCTGTCATAGTTCGTAAGAGGTCCACATTTTTATCTCTTTACTTGAAAATTTTTTTAAGATCGTGTTTCACAAAAAGACTATTAAAATTTAAATTTGATGAATGAATAATGTTTATAGAAGAATAAGATTGGATAAATTCTTATTTGTTCTTATTTGAATAGATCAATCCACATCGACAATTTTCAGCTATTCAAATTCGATATGGTGGATGTAAAGGTGTAATATCCGTTAATCCGGATTTAGACAATGCACCTCATCAATTACGTATTCGTCAATCAATGAAAAAATTTAAATGTTCACATGATATTCTTGAATTATGTCGAATATCTAAACCTCGTAAGTATATTTATTTCGTTTCTTATTTAATTCATTTGATTTTTTTTCCCAATAATTTAGGTCCATTATATTTAAATCGACAAATAATTGTTTTACTTTCTCATCGTTTAATTGATGATCGCACATTTCTTTTACTTCAAAATGAACATCAACAAATTCTATCTGAATCACTTGTTTATCCTCAACGTGCATATGAATTATTAAGTGAAAAATTAAGTCGAAATTTATTTCCATTACGTTCTTTAATTCATGATGCACAACTTAATTTAATTCAAGAACCATTTTTTCATCAATTAATAATAACAATAGGTAAATTTGAATTAGCACAAATGCGAGAACGTACACGCTTAAAATTACCTAAAAATTCAGCAAGAAATATGATTGGTATTGTTGATGAATATGGAATTTTAGAATATGGACAAGGTATTTAATTAATAAACTAAAAAAAATAAATTTAATATAAAATAAATATAAAAAATTTTCTTTTAGTTTTTATTCAATACACTGAATTAAATGATGATTATGTGAATGCTAATGAATCAGAAAAAACAATTATACTTGAACAAAAAGTTGTTGTAACAAAAAATCCATGTCATCATCCAGGTGATATTCGAGTTTTTACAGCAGTTGATGTACCTCAATTAAGACATTTAAAAGATGTTATTGTTTTTCCACAACGAGGACAACGACCACATCCAAATGAAATATCTGGTTCGGATCTTGATGGTAATTCAAAATTATTTTATTTCTGTTTTTTTTTTCTTTTTGATTAAAAATTTTATTATTTTAGGTGACGAATATGCTGTTATATGGCATCCAGCATTTATTCCACAAACACCAAATGATACACCATATGATTATGATTCACAAATGCCAATGTTACGTATTTCTGATCGTCCTATTAATCGTGCAGATATTCAAGCAACTGTATTAGATATTAGTGAACAATCATGTGTGGGTAAATTATGTTCACTTCATTTAGCTAATACGGATCTTAATGGTGTTGCACATCCAAAAACATTAGCTATTGCTAGTTATATAGCAGAAGAATTAGATGCACCAAAAACAGGACAACATCCATTAACACCAAAACAAATTGGAGAATTACAAAGTGAATTAGGAAATGAACGACCAGATTATTTTGATAAACCATATTATAAATCTTATCCTTCGAAACATGTTCTTGGTAAGATTTCAATCAAAGAATATGACATTAATATCTCTAGTGACTAGAGTCTCCCGAGTTGATTCTACAGTAGGACCCGGTTGAGTTCGGGTCAGACAATTTTGGGCCCAACAGACTCTGATCGTAGTCGATAAATCTTTAGAGCAGTTTTGAGTTTTGTTCTTGATAGTAATAGCTAGAAATAATCTGAGAAAACGTTCGAGTAGCTGAAAGGATTCTGTATCAGAATCGGTGAATCTAAAAATTTCAGTAAAAGTGCTTGAGTGACGATTTTTAGAGGACCAATACCCATAAAATCGGTTTTCTGACATTCATTTAAAAATTTTCGGAAATGATTTTATTGGAAAGGCAAAATGGGATGCCGCCGATTTCTTTATGAAGTTCTTTCATCGAGTTGTATTCAGTTTACAGAAGACTCAAGAAGTATTTTTATTTTATTTTTATATGAAAAACTTCAATGATTTTGTCATATTTCATCTTTGGGAATCGTTTATAAATTGAATAAAGTTCGACGAAGGAAGGTCATGAAGAGAGACAAGACATCTTATGTTGTTCTATCAAATAAAACCATTTCAAAAAAGATTCAATTGAATACCAAAAAATCGGTTTTACAGGGTACTTTAAATTATGAAGAAAAACTAATACACTTTAATAGATTATACATAGATTAAATACTTGAGAGAATAGTTAGATATGAAAGATATACGAATTAAACAAGAGTAGAATAATATAATTCGTTGTACTTGAGAGTAAATGTCTTTGAATAATCAGGTAATAATGATGCATTGTTTTCGTTTCATAACAAATCTGCCATAATTAAGTACATGGATATATGACATCCGCTAGCAGTAATTTTTATTAAGAGTAATTTCTTAGTTTGTACTTGTTTTAGATTGTTTTCGTAATGAATTCTATCTCTTCTCAAAACAACTATTTATCATCTTTAAATGTTTTCTAGAAAGCTATCTGATTGTTTTGATTTTATTGTAAAACTTAATTCAAGTTTATTTTCAAAGCATATTGACTTGTTCTTTTAGAAAATTAGCGTGCAAATATTCCTCTAAAAGTCGTGTCAGAAGTGCACTCTTAGATTGAATCATCTAAATGATTGAATCAAATCGGATCTTGAGAGATCAACCTAACCAGGCGGTAAAATTCGAGACGAATCTGTGTGACGAAATCACTGTCGACAGTAGTGTGATATTTATCCGATAGAATTCGGCGCTCAAATTGTTTTGTTTTTTGAGAATTTCAAGTTCATCTCTATCTAGGAAAATGAATCATATACGTGGGTAGATTAGATCGATGTCGGCAGATCAGATATGTGTGGGCGACCAGATGTGCCCATATATAGCAGTGTTAGTTTACTCATACAGCTATTCACAAGTAAATAGGTCAGGATTAAGTTACACACAGCTCTTAAGCGTAGTCAAGTAATAAAGAAAAGCTTTTTTTTGCTTAGAGACATTTCTATCCTTATAGTCTTTAATTTTTGAATAAAATTATTTTAGGTCAATTATTTCGTTCATGTCTTCGTTTTGAACCAAATTGGATAATACTTCAAACTCCACCAACAACTGTATATTCATCACCTATTGATCCATTACTTGTTCATGATTTACATACTGAATATACTTCGTCAGTTCAAGAATTAGCGCGTATATATCGTGAATGTATAATGGATATAATGTATGTGTATCGTTTTTCGTCTGATGTTGATTTACTTTGTCGATTTGATTCATCATCATCACAATATAAAACTCCATTAACTAAACAACAAACAGAATCAACTTGTCTTGTTGCTGATTCAGCACAAGTTGAATTTAGACAATTAATACGTCGTATACGTCGTTTATTTTTTGAAGATTTACGTTCTTGTGATAAATTTAATTTACGTCGCTGTCATTCGACTTGTGCACAATGCGCTGAAAGAAAAATGGCTAAAGCAAGTGCTCTATATATATTCTGTTATACAGATATAAGTCATGCTAGACGAATTTTAAGTTTACCATGGTTATTTGCACCATTATTAATTGAAACACGAAAATTAAATATAAAAAAACAAACAAAATTATGTAAGTTGAATAATAATATTAAGTCATTAGTAGAATTAGATTATTTTATTTAGTCCGACTGATCTTTAAATGTTTGATATACCGGTTTTAGTTTAATCGAGTATTTCAATTGTTTATTAAGCTGAAAACTTTCATAGAATAACCGAATAATTAAAAAATAAGATAAGATTTTAATTGAACTTTAGTAGTATGGAACGATTGACAGATTTGAGTTTTGTTAAGAACATATACTGATCGAAACTCCTTGTGGTTCCGACCGGACAAAAACTGTTAATAGATCATTCGGTATAATGTGCATTATCTCGACATTTAAGCACCAGTATACCGAAAATCAACCAGCAGTAGTTTGATACTTGAACAGTTGCTTACATTCTGATCGCAGGATACAGATAGTTGTTCTCCGAGCCATCATCTATTATGGGGTGTATCGACGGTAGTGCGAACAAACGTGCAACATGGCACAGCCATAAACTTTTATTGTGAGTAGAGTGTGCCAATTCCAAAATTGTCGAATGCGAGCTTAACAAGATTCGGAGTCAACCCGACAGACTCCAATAGTGAGTGACACGAACAATGTTTGATGATAAGATGTTTAAATCATCTACTCAATTTCATTATTTTTATACTTTTCAAAGCCGAATTAATTTTGAACGAAAAAAAAAAGTTTTAAGATATGTATTCATTCTTATTGTAGTACAATCTGAACGTACATTTTATTGATATGAAAAGAACTATAGATAGAAAAGTAACTGGTTCAACTTAAAATCTATTGCATAATATTAGAAGGGTGAAATCAACTTTTTTTATTCATGTTAATCAAACAAATGAAATCATAGACCTATTTGAAGAAAGCTTCATTAGCTATTATAAAATATTTATTGTTATATCGAATTCATTTTTTGACTGACTTACTACGTAGTTCTTGTTCTTCTATATTTTACAGAATCATTATTTCTCATATGATCTTTAGTTTAAATAGAATGATAAGTTGAGTTTAATCCGAGTTAAACTTTTATCTGTTCGTGCAAGTACATTAGGCTTAATACTTGTGAAATTTAAAATTGAAAGTGTGAATGTTCAAAAAGAATTCATCATTTTTTGTTTTCCAGTATCCCCAAGTATTGTCGCACAAATGCTTGAAATTCAACCATATCGTTTAATTGGTCAATCCTTACAACATGCAGTTCAATATTTAATTGATACAAATAAATCATTATATTTTCATCATATATATTCATCTGAAACACCTAATACAATTACTCTTTCACTTCGACCAACATTAACAGCTAAACGTCTTCTTCTTAAACGCCAAATATCATTAATTGATTATTTAATAATTGAAATTCTTCATCACTATTTTTATGATTCATTATCAAAAACACGTTCATCAATAATTTCATCAAAACCAGCACTTATTGATTCTGTTTGGCAACATATTTTAACATATTTTATTCTTAATGAATGTTCACCATTAGTACTTTTAACAACAACAAGAACAACAACAACAAGTTCATCTATATTATCATTAATTAAAGATTTTAATTTTTGGTCTGATGAACAAGCATATACAACATTACAACGTTTTATTAAAATTAGTACTCAGTGTGCTAATCATGGACCAGAATCAAGAGACTATGCACATGCAAATGAATATTTAATTTCTGTACTTCAAAAAATGGCTATAACAGGTGTTTTATTTTCAATTTGAATATAAACATAAATTTTCAATACAAATACCCAGTGATGTACTGATGGTACTTAAAATGAAATCAAGAATTAATTTTGTATTTCTTTTTCTTTTCTATTTTCAATATTTATAATTTTTCATTTTCTTTATTTTAAAAAATATAATAAATTGAAAAACAAATTCTTTTCTTAGTAATAAACATTTTTATAACAAAAAACAGAGAACAAAGAATGTTTTAATTTTTTTATGAAGAAAATATTTGTAATAAAATTTCTTTTTACAATTATAATTTTGATTACTAATGAAATAAAACAAGAGCAAGAAAACCAAAGTTCTTCTAATATTGTCTCAATTTCAGACAAATCTACGTGTTTATTATTTGATCTGTTGCGTTCGAAAGATTGAGTTAAATATATTACCATTCGACGTTGAATGATGATTAAAATATGCCGACATAGCAGAGAATAATGTATTCTACCCAATAAGTAATACAGAATCTCATATTTTAATGAGAGTCAGATAAGTACAATACTATGTCCTTCAAGTTAAAAACAAGTATACTGATTATCGAGACTGCATGGCATCCTATGTCTATTACTCTTATGCTACTTATACATAATCCAAAAAACGTTTTCTTCATGTATTCAAAACTTCTTTCTCATATGAGACATCATTTCTGTTCTTTTTTCTTAAAGTTTTTTATATCAACAAAGGAAATCTTATAAGTATTCATAAAAATCACACAGATTATTATTTGACATTTATGTAATTACAAAAATATAAGAAACAGAAATATTTTTCAAGTGATGACGGAACGCCTCTTGGTGTTAAATCGCTTTTCGACTGATATGATGTTCATTTGATGAGTACTAGTGAGTAATAGAAAAGTCAAGATTTGTTTGGTTTTTCGAGCCTTCGTGCTTGAAACATTATTTCAAACTTTACACGAACAGAAATTCCAATAAGATTAGTTCATTGGACAAGTTGTAACTTTTCTAGTATCTTCTATCCGAAATTTGTGTTTAATCGAATATTATATGCCGTTTCTGTTAAATCCACGTATGATATTACTAATATTAGTACAACATTCATAGAGAAAACAAGATATTAATCAATAAAGATAAACAATTTTTTTGTGATTGAATGTCAGTATTTTAATTGATTCAGAAACTTTCATTTCCGTCTAGATTCATTTTTTATCATTTGGTGTACGTGGTTTTTAATCTAATACGAAGTTTTGAATCTCATTGAAATTGAAAAGTTCATATTGAACAATAATGCATGAGAGCGAGTCTTACATTTGTAAGATCTAATGAAATCGATTGAAAACATGGACTCATCACTAACTACAGTAGTAGAATAACATACATAAAACAACTTCTGAAAGATTTATATTTAAAATTCGAAAACACATTCAAATGACTTATTATTAAAAAAAAACGTTTACAAAGCAAACCATATTTTGCCCTATTCTGATAATGGTCTATGTAAAGAAACATTGACGTTGCACAAATAAAATCACTATAAGTATACATTTTCCACGAGAAATCTGCTAATCATGTCACAATTAATCATTGTTATTCAAAGAAAAAGTAACAGCAAATATGTTGTGTACAAGAATTTTTTATGTTATTTTAATATTCCCATTGCATATTATTCAATTTTGACTAAGGCATCACTTTCGAGCAGAGCCCGTCGGGTACCATATTTTTGGACCCGGACCCGTGTCCGGACCCACTTTGTTGAACTTTTCTTGGACCCGTAACAGGTCTGTAAAAAAATTTCAGAACCGGACTCGGTAAATAGAAAACTTTTGGACCCGAACCTTACCCGGACCTGATCTCGTCTGTGTCCGAGACCAAAGTAACGTGTTCTATTGAACAGAAACAATTTATTTTCAACACTAACAACCAAAAGCAACTATCTCTTCAGAGAAAACTGAACATCAGTAAAGCTTCGAAAAATATTCTCCTATGCATCAAAAATTGCTTTAGATCCGGACCCGATCCGGATCCGCTTTATAGAAAATTTCCAGACCCGGACCCTACTCGAACCCGACGTGCTCTACTTTCGAGACAGTTCTAAACTTATCGTCTTCCAATTCAATTTAAACATTCAATATTTAACTTCAACAGTTCTCAATCCAAACAGCAGAACAATTCCATGATATCCTATCTTCTTCTTCATCCACTTATATCCGATCTTCCCCTACCTTGTCCAGAAAACAAAAATCAATAACGATCATTAAGTAACTAAATGGTGCTTGAGATTAAATAGTCATCCATTGAATTATTTTCAATTTTTACTCTCGTTGCTCGAAACAAATCAGTTAAAATAAATAAGTAGCTGAATATTTCACTTAGGTAGTGCTGAAGATTAAGTAGATATTCAGTTAGAGATTTTCAAAAGCAATAAATAGCTGTGGATAGATATTAAATTGCTATAATTACATATTGAATAGCTACGAATATTGCTAAAGTGGTTCTGAAAATTTTAAGTAGTGTTTGGGATTAAACAACTATTTACCAATATGATCAATTTCGACTGAATTGCGACGTAGCCATGAGCAAACAACGACATTGTTAAATCTTTATTAACATGAATTATATCTGTAAAAAAAACTTTAAACGTTTTTTGTTCTCTATCTTTATATATTTTCTCTATATAAAAGTTGTATTTTTTTTAAATGAGCGGTATCAAACATCTCACATATAATTCTGGCGAATAATAAATTCTTCCCATGGATCATTTATTATTTGCGAAGATCGATGCTACTGAATTCAATCGAAAGAAGCCTTTTTTCTTAGATTCTTTCTTTCCTTTTCAAAAAGCATTCTTAAAATTTCTCAGAAGTTACGAAAAATATTCATCTGAATAATAACATCCCAATAATTATATTTTAAACAAGTATTTTATCACGAATACAATTCGATCTTTTTGAAAGTCTACGCTATATTCGTTATTCATATTTAGTTTATTGAAGAACTTTTTCTTTTCTTTTACATCTCTAACTAGATAAAAAGGAATACAGAAATTTCTTGTTTTTTTTAAGCAGTTTTTAATGATCAAATTTTTAATCTTCTCCTTCATCCTCTTGTTCTTGGTCTTCGTCTGGTTCTGGTTCTGGTTCTGGTTCTTGATCATGTTCTTCATCACCACCTCCACTTCTGTTTATTAACGTCCACATTTTGCGGCCACCAGATTCTGATGTCCCATTTACAGAAAATCCAGCCTTCTCAAATGCTTGAACAACGTTTGCTGGTGGATCATCACATTCAACGCCTTCTCTATGATCACGTAATCTTTCATTTGTAAACTCTTCTTGTAAAATTCGAATAAGTTCAGGTTGAATACGATAATTTTTGACACCTGTACTGTGGACAATTGTTGGTCCTGAATATTCGTTGGGTATGTTGCATGAAACTGTTATTGTTGTATTCATTGGTACAGCCATGATTGTTATTTATTAGAATTTACGTTGAATTACACCTTGAAAACAATAGTTTATTAAATGAATAAAGTAACTTTTTGGTGTGTACAATAAATCTAAAATCTAAAAATGTGATTACAGAATGTAAGAATAAGAGAAGAATAAGAGAGCAAGAGAGTAAGAAGAAAAAAAGCTAAGCAAATACTTTTAGCAGTGATGACTCGAAGCAGTCAACATTAGGGGTCGAGGAGAAAGGGCGTCATGGTTTTTTTCTAAATAGAAATTATCTTTCATCTAACAGAATGTAAAAAGAATTTTTACATGCTTTCGATTACGATCGGATTGCGACAAACTACAAAGCAATCACACGTAGTTACGATTGAAATTCGATGCAGTCTCCCTCGAACGAAAAAACTATGTTTTTCCATTTCATTTTTGCAGCACTTAATATGTTGTTTTAAAAAACAAAAAATAGCAGAAGATGCAGCATGAAAAGCTCTACCATCCACAAAGTAAAGCTTATTTTAATTGTGTACTGTTATTTCAAAAAAAGCAAAATTCTGTGCAATCAATTTTCGACACTGGGAAAAAATGATTTTTTTCTATGCGAACGAGAAATTCCTTTTCTCTTATTTCATCTTTTTATGAGCTAATATGTTTTCGTAAAAAGAAACAAAATATACTGTGAGATGTAGCGTGAAAACCTCTACAATTTACATAGGACAATTTATTGAAATAAGAAAAAATGAATTTCTCGTTGGTGTAGAAAAATGATCCTTCCGCAGCGTCGAAAATTAGTCGGACACAATTTTGCCTTTTTTCGAAAACGAAAAATACATAATTGAAATAAGCTTTACTTCGTCGATTGTAGAACTTTTCACGCTGCATCTCACAGTATATTTTGTTTTTTTACGAAAAAATATTAATAGATGAAAAGATGAAATAAGGAAAAAGGAATTTCTCGTTCGTATAGAAAAAAATGATTTTTTCGTAGCATCGAAAATTGATCGTACAAAATTTTGCTTTTTTTTGAAAACAAAAGTTCACAATTAAAATAAACTTTACTTTGTGGATGGTAGAACTTTTCACGTCGCATCTCACGATATATTTTTTTTTTTTTTTTTACAAAACCACATTAGGTGATAAAAGATGAGATAAGAAAAAATTCTTTTTTCGCAGAGTTGAAACTTGGTTGGACAGAATTTTGCTTTTTTCAAAAACAAAAAGTGCACAATTAAAATAAGCTTTACTTTGTAAATTGTAGAGCTTCTCACGCTGCATCTTGTGGTATATTTTGTTTTCTTAAAACAATGTATTAAGTGATGCAAAAATTAAATGCAAAAAGGTAGTTTTTTTTTGTCCGAGGAAGAGTTGCTAAAAAAAGATACGACATACGTGATGATTTTTAGACTACAACATTTTCAAATCCATGAATCAGTCATAATACATAGAATAACGATAACTCTTTGAGGATGAAATTTCTTTTTCAATTGAAAAGTGGTTCTTCAATCAGTTTATTGTGTTTTGCTAAAAATGACTACATAAAAACCTTATGATAACTAATATCTCAAGAGAAGAGAGGAAGATATCATGACGTCAATTTATAGTAACAGAAAGAAAGGAGAACATCTGAAAGGGATCGATATGGCAGAAAGAAAAAAAAGAAAAGATATGCATGAGATAGCAGATAGGACAACCTATTACCTTACAGGTTATAACAATTAAACAGATAACAAACATGTTCTTTACTGAACAAGAGATGGAACAAAGTATGTGCCACTGTCCTTAAAGCGTCAAAGCTATTATCTCTATATGGAATGATGGTTCTAAACTGTAGTAAAACATCTATTAGTGAACATCTTCTAATTGTGAACGGTCTCGGGTTACAAAAAGTGATGTCAATAAACAAAAAAGAAGTACAGAAACAAATTCATCAGGTTTTTACTTAAACAATTCTTCGTATCTTGCACAATCTGATTTGTAGTTATGTGACTGAATGAAGTAAAATTAAAGCGATCAAAACCATTCGAAATCGTTGCATCGTGTTGTAAGACAAATTCATGAATTCTTTGAATAAAAAAGAATATAGAAAAATGTTTGATGAATGCATTCAAAGAATATAATTGTTTGTGAGAATAACTGTCGCAAGTTATTTGAAAATTCGATGAAATAAAAATACTCTGAACTTGTTTCTGTATTTCTTCTTTGTTCCAATAACATCCCTTTTCATATACTCTAATATGTGTATATCGCCAGGTATTAGAAGCTACTGTTGCTCTGAAATAAAATAATAAAAACAAAAACCCTCGTTATAAGTATATCATGGAAAGCAAGATAGAAACTTCAACATAGAATATAAATTTCAATTTCAACGCAATTTTTCGTTCTTTTAAATATTTAAAAATCATGTTAAGATAAAGTTTGGCTTCTATAGAAGAATCAACTGATATTCGTCTATCTATCCAAAAGCTATGAGGAATTTTTTGACAACTTTGTAGATTCGAATGAGTGTTTGAAAAGAGATATCAAGGTTCGTTCTCATCGGGTGTGAGTATGGGTGCTGGTAGGGCTGTGAGGGCCTGGGTGCTGGTGTAGGTTGAGACAAGACTGGCACCTTCACCCACACCCACATCCATGGTTGTGCCTTTGGGTGTCTGAGTGTGACTGTGGGATCGGTGTCGAGCTGCGATTACGAGTGTTCTCTTCACCGTCATCAACTCTGAGGTTGTCACTCCCACGCCTATACACATTCAGATGCCCCTGATACATAGCTTCTCGATTTCCTCTCTTCTGATGGATCGCCTACCTGTTGCTGCGTTTTACACTTGATTACGCACAGTAGTTGAATTGAAGCGTTAGAATAATCAAAAGTCGTTGAAAAAGCGATAAAAGTCTTCTCTTTATACAGATTACTTCATCATTTTGCTGACGTTTGTTGAAGAGACGAGCTTGAAGAGAGCAATAAAAAGTTTATTGTTGACGAAAGAAACATGGGAATAAAAGATTATTATCTTTATTGTTAGGCTTTTTCTCGCAGATATTCATGCAGCTAGAGAAAAGGTGTGTTTAATCGGCAAAACCTAAAAGAAACTGAGAAAAGAGCAAAGACATTAGATTCTCTAGAAATTCGACGATTGGTTTCAGGAGTTACCTGTTTTTAATGTAGGTGTGGGTGTGAGCGTATGGCATGTGGTGAATGTGGCTGTATTAGGTGTGGTGGGTGTGGTGTGGGGTTGGGTGCGGGTGTGGAGTGTGGGTGGGTTGGGGGTAGTGTGGCTTGTGCGTAGACTGTGGGTGTGGGGTTATGAGTGGATCAGTTCTTTAGACACACCCAGACCCATTAACATTTACATACACTCCATACACACCCGCGACACAGTGAACTATATAAAAAATTGCTGTTGTCGTGATGTTTTTCAAGGAATTCTTCAACAATCCCTTTCATCACTATGTTACATTCACATATGCAGATTGAATCCATCAGAATTACCAAGATTCTAACTGTCGGACTTGTAGAAACATAAGTCAGGTGTAACTTCATGTAATCTTGAAATCTCTCTAAAAAGAAACTGGTACTACCTCGATAGCATTTTTGAAGTATCTCCGGCACCGCGATGGTTTTAAAATAAAAGTGACACATCCGTGTCATTGACACTATTGTGATGCCAGTAATGCTACCATAAACATCTGCTATGTATCCAATACTCATATTATTGTTCGATTAATCATTTTATTTTGAAAAAAAAAACATATATTAGTGTCAACAAAGAAGTATTCCAACAAATGTATTCATATATAAAATAATAGTTTTTATCTAACAAATGTTTGTTACTCCTAATAAAAGACTTCGATTTAATCACTATTCTTTTGTGGTAATTGTGTCATGGTTGGATTAGTAAATCGTTCAGGTAAAAACACTTTTAGAAAAGTTATTGTGTTATTTTCTTCTCCTTCTTTATATGGATCATCATTTGCAATCATACGAGCAACAGCTTTTGCACACAAGAATGCATTTGGCATTCCATGACCTAGGAAAATGTAAACCAACATTTTATTTAAAAAAAAAGAAACTGACTATTTACCATGGTAACCACATAAAAGAAATTGTTTATTGTCGTCTGGTAAAGGTCCAATTAATGGTAAATGATCACTAGTAAATGCCATAATTCCTGTCCATTCTTGTTCAATTTCAACAGTATGATTTTTTGTTGTAATACCTGGATGCCATTGAGAAAAAAATCTTTCATGTTCTTCTCGTATTAAATCATTTATTTCTGAATCATTTTGATTATTATGTTCACTATCTGGACTTTTCCAACGACAACCACCAAATATAATTCGACCATCAATTGGTGATTGATGATAATATTCTCTTCCGTCATGTGCTGATAAACCAAATGGCCAAAAAATAGTTTCAATTGGTTTTGATCGAAAACATTGACCACGTGTTGGAATAATTTTATTACGTACAAAATCCAAATATTCAACAGAATAAGCATTTGTTGCATGAACAATAGCATGATGTGCAATAATTACACGACCATTTTCAAGTATAATATTTTTTGAATTATCAATACGAATAACTTTACCATTTGTAATTAAATCAACACCTGGTTGTTCAAGACAATATTTAAGTAAACCATAGACCAACTTTGCACTCCAAATTGTACCAGATTCACGCATAAAAAGTCCACCAATAAATTTATCTGAATGTAACATTTGTTTACATTTTTCATGATCCCATAATTCAAGATTATCTAATGACATTTTAGTTTTCGAATGTTTTTCTAAATAATCTTTCATTAATTCATATGACTTAATTAGACTTCTTAATTCTTCTTGAGTACGAGCTAAAGCAACATTTCCACGTGTTAAGTTTATTTCACAATCAATGTTATTTTCTTTTACAACTTGGACTATTGATCGAAGATTTTCATGTTGAAATTCAACCCATTTACACCCAATGTCATATCCAAAGTCTTCAACATAACTAGCTAAATAATCATAACCAGGCCAAAGCAAACCTCCATTACGACCAGATGCACCTGAACAAAGTCGAGCATTTTTTTCAAGTAAAAGTATACGTGGAAAACGTTCAACAGGATAAAGTTTACGTAACCAATAAGCACATGCTGCACCAGATAAACCAGTACCAATAATAACAACGTCATATTCATCATTATTAGTAGATAATTCAGCATGAATAATACGTGGATGTTTTAGAAAAGATGTAATAAAATCATGTTTTTCATCAATCCAAAATGGATTGGAATTTCGAATAATTGTTTGAGTCATTAATAAGACGTTATCTTATTTATTTTGGTTAAGTTTCTATTAGCTCTGTTAAAGATTAACGATAGAAAAATACAATGTGTTTTATGATTATTGTGAAATCTTGTTTTTACTTATGCTTCTGTGTAGTACGTGCGCTCTAGTATGCACAGCAAATAAAGACTATGACAGTGTTAACAACACATTTATATTAAGAAGAAAAGAAAGAAAAAGAAAAGAAAAAAAAGAAAAGACAACAGAATGAGAGAGAGAAAAGAATGTGTTACTATCAGAGTATGTGTGAAGATATTATGGTTGTTCTCATTCTTTTTCTATGTCATAAATCAGTGCTGTATAGGTTAGATTTATTCTAGATCCTAACATATGCTCTTATATTGCATATATTTTCTCATTGCGATGATAACATGAAAGGTGAGTTTGTTGCTTGATAACGTCACTTTGCTCGGGTTTGCTAAATAATTTTATTTATTTTCTTTGGAATTAGATTAGATAATAAACGTTTACATCACACCTTTTTTTATGTGAACTTAGTAACACAGTCATTTTACATATTTTTGTTCTTCTAAGCACAAATACAAGAAAACATAAATAGAACTTTGATAAGAAATTAAGAACAACAATAAACAAGTAATGAGAGAAAAAAACAAACGTAAAGAATAAAATACGACACATAAAGCAATCAAATGAAATAGAAAAATTGAGACAGATCCATAGAAAAAAATAAGTATAACGGTTATCTTTTATTTATTGATATTCTTGACTACAGTACAGTAATAATCTTATCCTCCAACTAGTAATATGTATATATATATTGCACAAAACTTTCGATTAAATTGAAACTTCTTGTTTTTTTTTGTATTCATGCTTGCTTTTTTAATAATGCTAATGATGATGTATCTAAATAACTATTTGAATCTGTTGTTGACATAAATATATTAATAATAACATTTATCATTGACACTAATGTCGTTATAAATAATGCAATATTATTATATTTTTCTAATCTTTCTTGTTTATTGGGATTTTGAATATTACCTTTTCCAACAATAATAAGTACATAAGCTAAAGCTACTTGTGCAAGAATTGAAATGCAAACAAGAACCAGTGATGCAATCCAAATGCCATCACGTTGTTTTTGATTTATTAATGTTCGTAGTTGCATTGCATTACTTGCTTTAAAAAAAAGAAATTTCAATATCTGACACATTCTTTTAAATATTTAAGCATTAACTTACTCAATAAAGCAAATTCTAATAAACCATGCCCTGAATAGAGACATAAAAACAATAGTAAAATTGTGGCATTTTGTTAAAACAATACTTTACCGATTGTCTTTTTTGTTGCATAACGATTGTAATTACATGAGCATTCCTTGTATGAATAAAAATAGATCATGTAAAATACGATAAGATTAATTGTTTGATATTGAGAAACTTTTTTTTAATGTGCAAACTTACAAACAAATTTTCAGCGGTCGATTCCATCTTATGAAAAGTAATATGTTTATTTATTTTTTCTCTTTATTTTTATACTATCAGTTTGGCACCAGATTTATATATATGCTCTCATTTCAAAATCATCTTCTTACGGCTGTGGCATAAATGTGAACTGTGCATATATTTATATGATGTCATAATTTCTTCTAGTTCTGTTGAGTTACAAGAATATTTCTCCACATGATCTAAAGCTTTTGCATTGTTATTTTACTCAGAAGTTGGAACCAGCAAGAGTAGACATGCTTAAAAGGACAAGGATTTATATATCTTTCTTCACTGAATATAAGCATATTTAGCAAATATACCATCGTTAATTCCAGATTTAACAAAAACTCAGATGACATATTTATGATGTGAAACTTAGTCTCAATGAAGTTCTTAACATTCTGATAGTAATCTGATTGTTCCAGCCAAAATGAGTGCTTCTTTCTGAAAATTTTGAGCTTTTGAGACAATCCAATTTTCGTGGTGTGTTAAAGCGTGAACGATTTTTCTTGAAAATTTAATACCTACAGAAAGACGCATTCATTGTGACTGTGAGAGTTAGCTTAGTGTCAGGGTTTTAAGTAGAGAGTTGCGAGTGCAAGTTTTTATGGACCCGGGCCCGCAGCTTTTTAGTCTTTGGGCATGCATAGAAGCAGAATTTCACATCGAAATTTGATCATTCGATTTACTTCTAATCTCAGCAAGTCCTCGTTATGGACACAGTATCAGCAGAATAGTTTTGAGTTACTTGGAACAGTTTCTTCATTATGACCACGAAAAAAAATGTCTTTATCCTTCCTTAGAATATTGGATTGACGTTAATCATTGACATAATTCGAAGTCATACCAATGACATGTAAGGTAGTGGAAACAAGTTTAATAAAATGTAGTTTTGATTTTTTTTTTCTATAATGGTAATTATCTAGCTCAAATCCAGATAGTGATTTTAATAGCCAAAGGGATTTTCTATCTATGGCATTCTATGCTAAGATTTCATTGATGAATCATGATTGAAAGGTTTCTAAAAAATTGGACACCGCAGTTTTTAGATCTCAAAGGACCATTGTTTTTCAATGACCCCATTTCAAAGAACATAAAATTCTGAACAAAGTGAGAGGTCGCCGCATTCTATACGACCTTTTCTTAAAGATTCAAAGGTATTATAAAAACTGAAATAAAGACAATTTCTTAATAAAATTTGTCTTTTTTACGGTTTTTGTAATACTTTTAACTTTTTAAGGAAATTTCGTATGGAATGCGGCGACCTCTCAGTTTATTCAGAATTTTATGTTCTTTGAAATGGCATTGTTGAAAAACAATAGTCTTCTGACATCTGAAATCTGTTGTGTTCATTGTTTTAGAAACTTTGCCGTCATCATTCATCTATGAAGTCTTACTATCGAACGCATCAGTTGTAGCTGTTGTTAAACATTCTTCCATCACCTCTGATACTGAAAAGAGAAAGAGGTTTTCTTTATTACCAATGTAAGTGTTACAAACAGAAAGGTCATGAATAATTATTGATTATAGATCAATCTCTTAGTTTTGAATAGAAACATGTTTTCTTTTAATCGAAAAGACAGAATTTTTCTCGCTAATCGATCAAATTTATTCATCGCAGTTCAACTTTAGTAATCTCTTTAATTACTTGATTTGGTATGGTAGGATTATTTTCTTCTTGTTTATCCATGCGCCTAGGTATTTGAGGTAGAAAAGGTTCTTCTTGAGGATTGCGCTCAAACTCTGCTCGAGGTGGTGGTATTGGACGACCAGTATCATTAGGTTCCGGATACATTGGTGGAGAAAATGACGCTTGTTGTTGATTGTACGATGCCATTGTTTATGAATAATATGTGACTACTAGAGAGAAAAAAAAGAGCCAAGAAATTATATTCATATACTTGAAAAAAAGTGGGCGATGAAGAATGTTTAATGATGACTAATGAAGATAGTCTTGCAAAATTTTCTTCTTCTTTGTTCTTTTTTTTATGGTTCCTCGTTCTTCTCATTTCTAAGAGTCGGGGGAGGTTTCATGTATGCCAAGGTTATTTTATAAAGTATAGAAAGACTAAAAATCTAACACATTTTCATTTCTTAGTCAAACATCGACCGTCTATGATAAATAAAAAATCTCGGTTTAATTGACTTCTAATGAATTTCTGTGTAACAATAACAAGAGTATAGCGATTGAAAAACACGACGCTAGTCAACAATACGAAAGAAAAAAGCTTCTAAAAAAAATAAATGAAACAAGCAGAAATCAAAAAGAAAAGAGAGAACTGTGTGCACAAGTGTAGACAACGATGATAAATATTGAGCAAAAAGAAAAAAAAAGAAAGAAAGGGAAGCTGAATCCGCTTGCCGCAGAGTGAGACGTCGATGACTAAAAATAAGTCTTTTTTTTCTTTCTCATTTAATTTCTTTTTCCTATACCGACGCATATTGGTTCTTTTTATTTCAAAGTTTTTTCCACTTATGTCAAAAGAGACTTTTCTTTTTATCGTTTCTTTTACTGATTGTTTATGTATATACATGCATGTATGTCATCTTTTTAAAATTTAATACTGTTGATCACAAAATGACATTGACCATGCATATTTAAGCAAGGACATATCGGAAAACAAAGATTATTTCAAGAAAATAAAATAAAGACATATATCTGATAAAAAAAAATTTCTTCTTTACCCTATAGCATAATTTACTTGTTTGTACCATAATTAAGTTAAATTAATCATTGTTATGATGTCATCGAATTGAAGCATGAGATTTTTTTTTCATAGATTTCATCTTAAAAGAAGATTAAAAAAAGGGCAAAAGAAAGAAATAATAGAAAAAAAATCTTCATTGTTTCTTAGAGAATAAGATAATAGACTAATGTAAATGCCGTTAGAAGAAAAAAACAAAGTTTGATTTTCTTACACGCATTGAATCAATTAATCATTATCAGAATAAAAAGAAAAATCATTAGAGACAAAATATTCGTAAAATACATGCAAATAAACAAGGAGAAAAGAAAAACAAAATTTTCTCATAGAGTATTCATAGTTTAGGTGTTATAATTTTATACAAAAATTTTACTAATACAAATGTTTGCAAACAAATCTTGTACATTTGGTTCTCAGAGTATTTCTTTTTTATACAGACCTGCCTGATGGTATACTGTCAGAGGGATTAAAAAATGTTTCTTCTTAATTTTATTAGCAGATGCAATTCTCACTAGCAACATCTATAAAATATCTTGAACCAAAAAGAAATTCATAATATTTTTACATAATACACTCGAGAACTGAAAAAGAAGCATAATTACTATATGATTGTTACTGGCTTCAACATATTCTTGTCGTTCTGTCAACATTTATTTGGTAAAAATTATAGAAAACAGCACAAGTAAAGCGTTTTCGATATAAAACACATATTTACAGAAACTTGCCGGTAACAGGAAACGTCTCGTTCGACCATAAATCGAATGAAGAATGTTTTTATACTTAAATTATAACACAGGGCCTTTTGGGCCGAAAGCATAAACTAAGTGGATAATCTGCTAATAAAATGTGAGTCATATAGAATCTGACAACATACTATCAATTATTTCATATCATATTTTATTAGTCGAGAAAGAGTGCTACATGGCACCATAATGCGAAATTTTATTCATTTATCTCTTGAAGAAAAAAGAGAAAAACATCTGTTTTCTGTGCACATCACGGATTTTTTTACAGCATCAGCTCTTTTTAATATTTTAAAATTCTTTCATTACAAATGTTCAAGTTCACCGAAATTTATTTACTTATCTTTTCTTCACATTGTATTTCAAAGCCATCTATATACCTATCCATGTGATTCGAACCGAACGAAAACCGCCGATAAATCGTTTGGCACAATGTGTGCTATATCGGCAATTAACCGTCAGTAGTTTGATACTTGAACAGTTGGCAAGTCTCAGGTCGTCACCTATGTTGCACGTTTGTTTGCTCTACAGCTGGTATAGCGCATGTTGTACCGAATGGTCTACCGACGATTTAAATCACATGGGCATTTTATCATAGTATACCAATAGCTGTTCTCTGGTCAACAATCTACTGTTGACATGTCATCGGTTCTTCTAAGTACAGCTGCATATCGGTGGTAGTGTGAACAGACGTGTAACATGGATTCTTATGTATTTAGTCATTATTTCAATATTTCTTAGTCTACTGTATGCGAACCTGGTTTTGTGGCAAAGAAGCTGTTTATGAGCATGCCACTAAAGATGACCACTGTTTGATGACATGGATTCTAACGGGCATACATTTTTGATAATTTTTGTATTAATGTCTTTAACTATTATTTCATTACTAAGTGGGATTTATCGGCAAATAGATTCTTTGATCTCTACTAACAACGATCGCCCTCGATCATTCTCATCCTTATATGTTCGAATTTATGTGTTGATGTTATAATAGACATTCCTTAGTGACATGTTTGTTTCGTGATAAGTAACAGGAGCAGGCAGCACATTCTTTATTCCAATAATGTAATATTGAGATATGATGATTTTTTCAAATGAGAAAGCGGTACCATAATTCAATATACATAACCGGTGCCCTATAGTAAATGGCTGGCTTTTGCAACAATCAATGTATAAGCGACTTATTCATATTTTCGACTTATTCTTACATTGGAACTACTTAAAAGTTACACGATAACAAATTATCAACTCTATAAGTGCTTTTTAGTTTTAATTTAAATATGAAATCTGAAGATCTTGGAAAAATAGTAGTACAAATGGCTGATGATGGTATGTCATCGCTACAGATTACTAAATAATTACGAAAGATGGACAGCGAGCGTACAGCTAGACGATGACAACATTTATACAGAACAACAGGTGCAATTGATTTGAAAACGTCTACTGGTAGATCCATCATTAAGGTGTGGGTGAAGGGAGGATCAACATCCACACCCTAGCACCACGAAGTAAATACGACAAAATGCATACGACACCTTTATTTAAGCAGAAAACAAAGCGTTTTGTCTAAATAAAAAAATCTATTTAAAAAGACACGACATATATTTTATTTATTTTTACTTTAGACTGAATATTTCGAGGACGTGTTTGAACCCATGATACAGATAGTGGTATCTAAGTAAAATACATCAAGCATTTTTTTAAATAGTTTATCTCTATTTACTTACTGCTACCTGACGCTGTTCAGAATCTTCTTCTTGAGTACGTGACCTTCGATTCTGAAGCATCTAAAAGAAAGTAAAGGTTTAATACATTCCCGAACACGTATTCTTTAAATAGAATATATAATAAGAAGAAAATCACGTGTTAAGTTTAGTGAACGTTAACATCTAACTCGATTATTTGTTTAACTTAATATTCTTTTATAAAAACAGACATTCTTTCTTTCCTTTTCTTTAGGGATTTCTACTTGTTTTCCTCACTTGACAGATATCGAAATGCTCTACATCTATATGTACAGATACATTTTTGTTTGCATGTTTCTTTTCGTTACTCTTCTCTTGTCTTCCTCTCCTTCTTCTTCAATCATCGCTTTAAAATCAAAACAAAACGGAGCTGAATTATCTTTCTATGCAGTCTTGATCTTTCTTATCTGTCAATATTTCATAAAACTTTCTTCACAAGCCATGTAGAGAAATCTCTTCTCTATTAATCTGTGAAATCAGTGTTCAAAATCTGATCGTGAATTATAGTTATAATCACGATAGGCTTCAGAATATTTTTAAATATAAGATTAATATCAAAGAAAAAACAACACGTTCGAAAACAAAACGAATATCATACTTTCACTTATTTTGAAATCTTGTGAACATGGTTCCATGCTTAATTCCTGTATACGTCATTCAATATAAACTCGTGGTAAATAGAATTCATAGTTTCTATAAAGATAACGAAGTGCTGAAAAAATTTGACCGGGAATCTAAAACAAAATAATAAATTATAGAAAAGACAATATACAATAGATTAAACATACCATCCTAGCTTCATCACCAGAACCAAAAATTCCTTTCTATAAAGTCATCACTATTGTTCATGTAAGTGTTTCACAGAGTTCCTCAAGAATGTAACCATCTTCATGATTAGTTGATACAGGAGGGGGAAAGGTGCATCATCTGTACGTGCCACACATGAAAGTAACACAAAAAAAAAGATTACGTAGAACAAAACTTATTTCTGACGAGAGTATCGTTCCAAATGATATGAAGCTTTTCAAAATAGATCTGTTTCATTAGAAAAAATTTTCTAAGAATAAGTAAAACCTTTAATGATGCATTCCTTTACAGCGTTTTTTCTCTAGTTATGACAATGCTACGGAGTTAGGATTATCCGAAGTGGCACCCATCATTTGAGCTCATTTGGTCAACAAGAAACTATCGATTAAACTGTCAAAAGTTTGAAAGAGTTCGTGTCCATGAACTTTTAACGCCGATTTATGATCGTTTTATTGAATTTTCAACCTACTCTTCGAGATTTACCGAAAAACTAAAAAATGGACTTTCGGTCTAAAATTTTGCCTCTAGATAGGTCTAATGACTCTTAAAGTATCGCGAAAATTTTAATCAAAAATAATGTTCTTTTGTCTATTTGTTGAATTTCCACCTAAGCTGAATTTTTCTGACATGTCTATAGCAAGCTACAACTATCTGAAAATTCAATGTCTTGACAAACAACTAATCTTTTCAGTTGAAACTTTCAGGATATTCGAAAGCTCATTAGAACTATCTGTAGAATGGTCATAACTCGGCGCCAAAGGATTATGTGAACTAACTGTTGTAAGTTTTTGCTAGTCTTACCAATACTATGTTGATGATACCAGATGAGCTCAAATGGCGGCTGTCACTTCAGGGAGTTTTTTCATGAGTTTTTGCCGAAGCGCATATGGTAGAAGTCAATCAGTTTCCAGTTCAGATCAAATGGGAGAAGGAACATTTTAAATAGATCAAGTCATATTACAAGATCTGTTCCTAGAACTTCTCTGATACGAAATGATCTGTTGCAATAGTTCAATTCTTGTAACGAAGGTTTCCGATAAATTTTGTTCAGTCTTCGGAACGGCATTTCAATAACAAAATAAAACTAGTTCGGACAGATTAGAAAGCATGTTCAACAATTCTTCAAATCCAGATTAGCACTCAACTTGTCAATCTCCAATGCAAGATATGTTATGAAAAATATCCAATGTCGTCATTTCGACAGTAATGATCTCTACTATACAGTGAAAATTTCACCTAGAATTAATATTTTCTTTTCTAGATATAAGATCCTAAATTCTTGAGAAGAAAATATTCATTTCCGATGAAATATTCAGCTTAGAATAGGTTTCAGAGAATTTCTTTATAGACGAAATGATGATATCGGTATTTTTTCATGATATACCCTGCAGTGAGAATGTGGATCCGGGTAACAATGAATAGCATATCATTGTGAAATCCGCCAACACCTAACCTCACCCCCCCCCCCACATCCTGATGACCTTGAATTATTTTCACGGTGCATTTCTTTCTTAGTTTAACCTAAAAACATTCTTGACTGAATTCAATTATGCAAAATAAACGTACATCTAACTTTATTTGTAAAAAAAAATGTATGACTCTTTTTATTTCTTCTCACAGGTGAACGAAAATGATAATAGGAACTATTAATATAAGGTACTAAATAAAAAAGCTTTTCTCTGCTAAGTTAAATTTTGACTAAAGAAAGAAAGTTAAATTTGATAAACTAACTGATTAATTTATGTTCGTCATCATTTGAATGATTGTTTTCGCTTATTTTCCATGATCTATCTTGCCAATATACTGAATAAAATCAACAACACAATGTGAATAATCATATTGATTATCATACTTGAAAATAAAAATAATTGTATTTCATACAGAAAACTATTAAATAAATAGAAACATAACATGAAATACGTTTAACAAAATTGTCCTTGAGCGAAATATCGACTTTAGCATAAAGAATTGATGAATGTGTATCACCAATGAAATCTGTTGAAATAACTTCATCGTCAGTATAAACCAAAATACCTTTTAATGAACCATGGGCAACTGCTTTAATTATAGCACAGATGTCATCATATTTAGCCTAAACAATAAATTGAATTTAAGAGAATACCTATGAGACCATCGAGGAATCGAAGCACTCGTCAAAATTTTATTTTTTTATTTGATGTTCTCATCTTAATCAGCATCATCTAAAACTTTTACAACGAGAAAAAAAAGCCGGTAAACCTGAGTAAAAGAAATATATTGCATATCGAATTTAAATTAGATTACATATAATACATCCAATCGATAATACAATAGTCGTATATCTGAAAGAAAAAAAAACATGCAGTCTTGTATAGTCATTACTCAGTATAACCATCGAAAATTATCTCTAAAACACTAAAGATCATATTTGCAAAAAAAGTTTTAATTTTGTGCAAGACTTTTTTGCAAACATCTGTATATTAATCATAATTATATGTTCAAACATTTTGTTATATTTCAGTGGGTTAAAATAAGATTTAATTATTTATACAAATCCGCGATATCACTTACCATATCTACGATGATTTTTGTCTTAAAACTTATAAGCCTATAAAATCTTTCATCAAGAAAATACAACAAAAGAAACAAAGGAACTTTTTCAATTGATAATAATATTTATCATATTCATATTATCAAAGTTTCAATTCAGAGAGTACATCTTACTAAAGTGTCTATAGATATTTCTTTAAAATAATTCTGATAGCAAGAATTAGCATTTCTATTATTTATTATTAATAATTCTAAAAGCGAAACATTTATTCAAACTATTGATTTAATTATAAGTTGAAAACGAGATTTTCTTTTATTTATTTATAATAATAATAATAATAATAGAATAAGCGATATAAATATATTTTTTTTTGCGAACTACTTGTAAGACTAAATTGCTGGAGAATAGGTTCTAAAAAATAATTTTAAAATGATTAGTTTAAATTTTTGTTCTTTAATTTCTAGAGGTGAAAGGGTTTGTTCTTTTTTTTCTTTTCGTTTCGATCAATTAGAAACATCGAATTCTTTAAGAAGATTTTGAACATGTGGATCCATCTTTGATGCACTTGTAAATATGCAACCAACAAACACATGAGTACCTATAATAAATTTTCTAATAAATATTTAAAAACAAAAGTTTTTTTATCCTTACCATGTTGTAAATGCTGAATGACTCGACAACAACCTAAATCAACAATATTAATACCAAAATTGCGAAAACGTTCATCCGTTTCGAATAATGCATCTGACGTTGATGGTCCATAATAAGGTTTACCATTCGATGGATCAATAAAATCTACCCAATATTGCTTTGAATTTAAATAAGTTGATATTTCTTGAGCTAATTTGTTAAATTTTTCAATTAATTGATTACGTTCATTTTCAACTTCAATTGACCATGTTGACATATCCGAATTTGTTTTAAATACTATTGTTATTGCTGTTAATGGTTGCGTTAATATATCATAATTTAAAAATAAACTATTTAATTTTGAGCATAATGATGATGAACAATCATATGTACGAATTTCTAAATTTTTATAATTCATTAATTTTGTTAAAAATTCCTTTTCATTATTTGTTGATGTTGATGATAATGACATATGCGTATTTATTAATTGTTCAACTGAATCTTTTTCTTGAAAAGATTTCGATATTGATTTTGTTTCATAAGAAAATCCAATGCGTCCTGGTAATGGAAAACGTGTATTAAGATCATAAGGTGTGCCAACATCGGATGATGGAATTGGTGAAGTTTGTTTTGATGCATCTAATTGATTGACAAGGTTTAGTAAAGCACGAGATTTTAAATCGAATACATTTGTTTTATATGAAGATACTTGACGATTAGGAGAAATAAATAATAATGCTCGTGAGCGAATATGTGTTAATAAGCGATCCATTGCTATCTAAAAAATACTAAACTTATAGGTTCGTTTTTTTTCTTATTTTCTTGATATGCAAAAGAACCAATGAGTCATAACGTGTTATTTTTTTTTCTTGGCTACCATTATTTTTTATTATTTTCCTCCTTCATCGGGCACTATCGTATTACGACGATGTAGAGAAGGCGCCCGTCATCAAGACCAGTTACCATCTTTGTTTAGAAAGGAAAAAACACGATAAAAAAAAGTTGTTTTATCATGGTTTTGTTTGATTTGTTTTAACCAAACTTTTATGAAAGAACAAACGAAGATGTACGAAGAAATATATATATATATAATGCAGATAAATGCATGGAAAGTAGTTTGAGGTTGAACCCTTCACAAGCAATATGTTTGTTTTTATTTGACACTTTTTTTTTGGAAAAACTTTCAATGATTTCCGTCACCTTCCGCTTGAAAAACATGCTTTTTTCTCTGCTGAAGTTTTTATACTTGGATACCTCAGAAGTCTCGAAGAAACTTCATTGTAGCCGATCGCTTTGGTGCGAAGAGTATGTGAAGCTGCAGTCCACTTTGTTTGAATAAAGCTTTTTTCTTATTATTATATGAAAGAGAATATTTCTTTAAATAGATTACCCTTTTTTTTTTCGAAAATTTTTCGAGGTATTGAATATCTCATCTTTTTCCTCTGCATAAAAAGTACGAATTAAATAAAAAGGATTCTATTAAGCATTGCACTTTGACATGCTCTTTCAAATAAAAAACAATTAATTATACAAAACTAGGGCGCATCGAAGATTTCTTACGGTATAGGGCTGAAAATCTCAGTATACTCTCGTCGCTACAGCTTCAACACATCCTGAAAGTTTCATACGATTTGAATAACCATGACCCAAGATCGATTTTCGAGGGAGAGGGGAATCTAGAGTTTGAAATTTTAGGATCCAAAACATGTATAGAGAAAGTTTTAGGGGCCCACTAAAATCATACTCTGATACTCTCAATGAGTTTTTGTCATCGGAATGGGATAGTTGCCCCGAGGATACGAAATAATTTTCCTCGACTTTTTGTTTTCGGTAACTAACGCACCTTATACATTTCTCAAATCACTTTAGCCCGTCGGGACCAAAATTTTCCAACGCGTACTTGACGAACACTAGGAGGGAGCTTAAAATGTAATGAACATTTCATAAGAACTATTCCGAATACAGTGCTTATGTAAGTGTATCATATCTAACAGTAAACAATTAGTCACTTTCAAATGTTTATTATGAAAAAAAATTTTCATTGAAAACACGCAAAACTTTTAACACATTATAAAAATTGTTATGAAGCCCTTGTCCATGATTGATTGAACTTAAAATCTTATACAAATAAAATTGTAATGGAAAACATGAAAGTTTTGTTTGTTTGATAAAGTATAATAAACGAGAAGAAGACTGAATATATCACAGTAAAATGAATGAATAAAACAATTGATCTAATTAAATGAGATTAGTGAAGAAAAAAAAAGCAACTATCTAAATTATTAGTTAAGTTAATTCACAACAAAATAACAATTTTAATATAATCTTGAGCTATGATATCGATGTTGTTTCATATAAAAAAATGCACCAATACCACCCAAACAAATAATTATCAAAAGAAAAACAAGAAAAAATATTTTTAATGCCGACCATTTAGATGGTTTTGAATTATTATCATCCGTCTCTCCCATCTTAGCTAACGGAGCTGATGGTATTATATTTGTACGATCTTCTTTTTGTCTTTGTTCACTTGAATCTAATTGATATGTATGTACTGATATAATATCATGATTATCACTAAGTTCACCAGTTGCAGCTGAAAAACCAAAATAATAATGTGTTGGTAAATGAATATTTTCAATTGAGAAACATTCTGTCCAAGTATTTGTTCCGTCAAAATCCGTAGATACAGTTAAATGATTATTTTGATAACGTATAGCAACAAGAGTATCTATTTCACGACCACGAAAGGATGCTTCACAACCAGCTATATTTATATCTGCACCATCATGACCATTATCATAATGAAGTGAACCATTATTTACCACAGCTGATATATATGGATAAATATGCTAAACAGATGTTTTAAATAAAATAAATATATTTATATAAATGACACAAAAAGACTTTACATTATAATTGTCGTTTCTATTGGAATATGTATCCATCATAATACCTAATCCATTAAAATAATCTGCATAACCAAAAACAGGACCTAGGACAACATATAGATTTCGAATGTATTCAAATTTTTTTTACAGCATTCAATTTCTCTAGTGCTTAGTATATAAAAGTAATTAATGAATTTCATTAAGTAGATATTCCACTATGAAGAATGACAATGGTTTATTCAAGTACTAAGTAAGCATATCTTGATATAGCAAACTCATCATTTGACTTATTCTTGTTGCCTATGATTACATCATGTAGGCATATGTAATTCGAAGTAAATTCAACTGGACTATATTTTCATAAATAAGAAATTAATTATATCTATCACATAATGAGAAATGAAAACAAATTAAATGCTCTATATTTTTTTTTGTAAAATTTAGTGTTCAGTGACTATTGTGTTTGCTCAGTAAATTAATTATTTGTAGGTGTGGGTGTAAGTGCAACGTCAGGTGCTGGTCATAGTCTAGACACAATTATTTCACAGCTGATTAGTATCATATCTTAAAAAAATGTTCCGTACTCATTTTTTTTATTATTTATCTAGTTGATGACAAGAACTTTTCTTGGATCATCTCTTTTGAATTATGTTCTGATTGATATGATTTATAAGCTAATTCGCTTAAAACCATAGAATATTTAACTATAATCTTTAATTCCGGTTGAGAGAATTTTTTTCTCATAGTCCCTGCATCATCGAGTATTCAAATTTTCGTCGCGTATGTTTCTATTTTAAGATCATATATCAATCATTATGAATAAATAAATATTATCATCAGAGATGAACAGATCCAATGATTATTTCGATAATTAGAAATATTTTTCAAAAGTCAGTTTACTTTTGCTTTGGTCACATACTTGAGTGTGAGAGTTGTTCACATGGATGTGGATGAAGAGAAGATCCACAACTATATCCACGAGCAACTGTTTGACTTCGAAATATTCGATGTCCATTGAATTAACTTATATCAATGATCTAGAAATCTACTGGTCCAAAAATGCTTATAGTATACTTGAATAATTATTAATTTTCAAACTATTCAAAAGAACCATCTTCGATAGAATTTCTCATATATGAAATGTATTTTCATTCATAAAAAATTAAAGATAATGTTAAGTCAATGAGTTTTGAGTTCAATTACTGTTTACGATAACCTTTGTACTTACCACTTAATTTTGCATCTCTGACATACCAAATAACAAATCCGTCACCAAACAAACTTGTTCCCCCACCATGAACTTTAAATTGAACATGCATTTCCCAATCAGGATAACTAACAGGTATTGTATTCCATAAACCACCAGCTTTACTTTGTATATCAGATGTTAAACGAATATATCGATCTGTAACTATTGTATTACCAGTTAAATACCAATGTGAATGAGAAGTAGAAAAAACTTCAAATAAAAAAATAAAACAAAAATAAATAATCAAATTCAAATATATATTATTAAATATACCGGATGGATATGGACGAGTAAGACTATGCTCACGAATTTCAAATGCACCTGGCCCTTGTGCAAATATATGTTTAATAAAAACAAACGAGATGATGGTGATGAAATACATCTAAAAATAAAAATCTGCAACAAAGTATTATAGTCAAAAACTAATCAATAAAAACCAAGATGAAGTTATAACTATTCGTATATTGTTATGAAAAACAATCGCATACAAATAATGATAAATATGTACATATACCAATTTGATTAGGTTTAAAAAAATACTTCTCTGAATTAATTTTTACTATCGCAGAAAGGATAAAATGAAGCTAGTTATTAAAACTCTTGTTCGTGCATGTTAATACATCCATCACAAGACTATAAAAACAATTCAATTGAAATTTCTAAGTTAATATCTTTGAAAAGTACTAATGAAGAAAATATGTCTAAGAAATAATATTAGAAATCTAAAACAAGAAAAAGAAATATTTCGTAACGTTTTATTAATCCTATAACGCATAAGCTAAGTACTTTTTGTACTTTGCCGAATAGTATCCAATATACTTTGTTGTTTTCGAATTAAATGTAAAACATAGTACTTTGCTTTTGCTTGACAAGTTACAATATATTGAAAAGAAAATTTCTTACCATAACCTGTTTGGAATGATTTGATTGGATAGAAAATTTAACTATCTATAAGTTCTTCATTAACAAATGAAGGTTCTTTTTTATGTAAACAAAATAGTTTGAGACGATAATAAAACTTGCTTTTGTTTTTAAGACTAATTAAATAAACAGATAAACGATATCTATCGAACTTAATTTCAATTGGTTAAAGTATTGCTTGTCAGTATTTTTAATTGCAGGTGTACAAAGTACAGGCAACGTGTACAGAATACTTAGTATCTTATATTGTGTTTAAAAAACATAGTCTATAAGCAATACATTTTGTTTGTCAGAAGATTACATGAGGTTTTAAATAAAAAGATAATTATTATAACTTATTCTATTATTTTCGAATACTTCACATTTTTTCCTCTATACTCGAATTTGTCTTTGGCTATATGAGAAATGAAAATGTGTTTCTTGTGTATTATCAATAGGTACTTATGTCATTCAACTCGGACAAAAAGCGTCAGTAGACCATTTAGTGTAATGTGCGCTATACTGGCAGTATATTTGTCGATAGTAACAAAAATCGTTGGTATACCGATAATTGTTTTCGGACTCTTTGACGACAAAATGTTTCGATTCTAGGGTACGCTCAAAATTTTTTTATAAGACCATCATCTATATGTTAGAAATGAAAGAAGATGTGTTTTTGAATGACCACTGAGATGAAATACAATTTAGTGTCTCTTCTATCGAACTCACATTTTGCAATGTGCAAAAGTGATATCGATTAGAAAAATATTTACATCCACTTGTAATGAAGGATTCCTATTTCAATCGATTGACGATGTATGATCTAATATTTACTTGCACAAAATGGAATATTTTCTCAAAAATGTTCTCTGAGTCTGCCTAATTGAGAATATGCTGTTACTAACTGCTGGAAGCGGCGGAAAATATTGACGTTTATACGAAAAATGTGATGCATTACACAAACATATCAATCTGATGGACGAAGAAACGTGTTTCAGTCTACTCTCTAGCCTGCGAAGCATGAATCTAGAGTAAGCTTTCGATTTCTCAAGCCTTGTAGTTTTACCATCTATGTTTATTGAATACTAGTTGGTAGTAGATAAAATATGGACTGATCTTGTAACAACGCATCATTTGTCAGAAGAAAATGAAAATTAAACAGCAATAGAACATTTTTACAATAATTAAAGATAATTCACGTACCTTGACTCCATCACATATTCCCTCACGGACAATCTACTATTCATACTTATAGGGATCTCGATATACGAGCGTTTGTGTGAGTAACCGTGATTAAACGAAACAGTATAAGTTGTTTTAATACAATGTGTAAAAGAACTTCGTTATTGTATGCTTTGATGCATTCAACTTCATGATAAAAGCATTGTACAAAAATACTTTGTTTAAGATTTCTTTAGAAATTCTGTTTCTTGTATTAAAGAAACCATCAATATTCATAATTGAAAATTACTTTGACACTTACAAAGAGGCCTGTATCTGAGGAAATAACATTTTTATTCGATAATTTTTTAATAATATCAATCCATTAGCTTCTCAAGTATACCGATAAATATTCTCTATAATGTTTTGAGTAAAAGAAAAATTTCGATTTAAAAAATTAAATATAATAAATATATATACGTATATAGAAGACATCTCTTAATTAAACTTCAACTTTTCATTAATTTTTATGAAAGAGAAATATAAGAAAAAAATAAATAAACACTATGACAAATATTGTTTTCTGGGATCTTTTATTTTTGATTTCTATTGTGAATGTGAATGAGTACCTATGTCGTACGTTTGTTCATACTGTCGCCGCTACACTACAGTACTTATGAGAAACGACGATACCGCTTACGGTTTTCGGTTTTAAATATAAACAATTGACAAATAAAATCTGTAAATTTGAAATATATAAGATTAATATCTTTTTGTATGTGACTTTTTTTTAATATGAAAATTCACGTAGATACAGATTTGAAACAAACATGATTGATGGCATAAAGATTTAAATATATTGTCTTCTATTATTGCTAAATCGTCTATTTTTCACTGATAGATTATTTTTTTATTTAGTTAAACTTTAAACCGAGATAAATATTAAGTCAAAGAAATGATAAGTACGCAAGAAAAATATGATGCGATGTGATTTTTTTTTGTTTGCTCGATGTGTTATCTAAATCTATTCCTTTTTTTATATATATATTTTTTTCGCCGATAAATGCATCATCAGTGCTGACAAATCAGGGCTCCGAATCTAATGCAAATAGATAGAAGAAACGTCATATGAGATCAATGGGTTTTTTTCCTTTCCATTCTATAGGTCAAAATCGTCAAGTGTAGAATTTTCTTTTCAAGGCCAGCATTGACGTCAATGACTTTTTAATAGCATCGTTTTCGTTTTTCTCGAGGTGTATTTCATATTTTTATTTTTCACACTAATCACATAAATCATACTGATGTTTTCAAAACCGAAAGATTTAGGCTTTTCAGGAAATTCATTTGAATTTATTCAACTCCACTATATTTCTGACAAGATTTGAATGTTACGTCTCTATGTATTAAGAAGGAAAAAATACGACTCTAGTGAAATTCGGTGGATTTCTTGAAATTTTTATCAATGCTGGTGAATTTTGAGATTGTCTGGGTTTCGTAGAATCCATCAAGATTTGTAGTCTACTCATTGGTTATTCTCTAAATCAAAGCTCATGCAGAACTATGTTAAAAATTAATTTGCAATAGATTTAATAAAGATTCATTATGACCATTGCATTTCATTCAAATAATCAATAGTTATAGCAGAAAAAATATTCAAAAATTTAAACAAGCTTGCAACATTGACCATTTTGTAAAACTAATATTATTTTTCATTATTTCAACTCTGAGAAAAATATTAAAAGAGTTTATATTATAACATACAATAACAAATGAAATTAGTTCTATTAATGAAAAAGGTCAACAATGATTGTAGAACAAATTCTGCTAATCAGTATACCTTGATTTCATATTTTATTAGACAAAATCTGCATTTTTTCATGATAAAAATATAGAAGGATTGAATCGCGCCATCACTAACAGTTTGAGAATTAAAGAATTAGAATTTCTAGAAAAGTCTTTTTTTATCTGACTCTTTAGAACACTTTCAATATTGGCATATAAAGATATTTAACAAATATTTGTATAAACTTTAATGAATAATTTGTAGACGAGAAAAAAATCTCTTCATTCGTTCTTACGTGAAGAATGAAAAAAAAAACCAATGGAATTGCATCATATTCAATGATTGCACATACTTATAGGAGGAAAGAAAAGTCTCTGGTGACACCAAGATTCGAACACTGCAATATATGTGTTCTCATTATTATTAAAGTAGCAATAACTCAACTAAATAAATCTATGGTATAAAGTACAATAATCGAGTTTATTATGTGTATTTTATACTCACATTTATTTAGTTGAGTTCTTGCTTGCAATCAGTTTTTTAACACAAAAGAAAAGCTAAAAGCAAAAAGAAACTAAATCATTACATGTCAATTTTGTACTTTTTATTTCATGAACTTTGCTCAATGATAAGAGTACTATATTATTCGAACTTTCTGGATCATTGTGCAATATCAGAAATGCGTAGGCTTCAGAGAGATGAATATCAAAACTACTGGTCTCTCTCCCTCTCTCGCTCTCTCGGGGGCGCTTATCTATTTCTCTTATTCACTCTCTCTTTCCCAAAATCAGTGTCTCTAACAGAGTTATAGCCCTTCACATTCTCTTTGATTTTGTCCAGGTGTAATTCTTCACACAATGATTTTTGACTATGCAAATATCGGTAGATAGTTCTCTCTTTTTCTTATCGAAAATTGTATATATATATATATACGAGAATCAAACGATGAAATTCATCATATTCATTTCTTTCTCTTCATTTCAGTCAATTGACAAATCAAGCGAGAAGAGGTTTGACAAGAAATCAATGTGATTGATGGTGGAAGTTTATACACAACCCTTTTACAACAATATTCAATCGGCTATCGGTGGTCCTTCATATCGTAATTATAAACGACAACGTATTAAATTCAATATATCAATTTATAATCATTAAATACAATTAAACAATCAAAATTAAAACAATGAAGAGTGATATAACACAACAAACACAACATATTCTTAATCTTATTGCTAAACGCGATTTAGATGATGATGGTAAGATAAAATCTTTTATTTTTGCTAATAATATTCAATTCATTATTTTAATATAGAAAAGAAACAATTAATCGATGAAACTGTGGAAAATTTTAATTCATATATCAATCCAGGTTTCTTACAATATCGTAAATCATTTTCACCTGATTACGTAGCTGGTAAGTTTATTATTTAGAAAATAAATAAATAAACGATTCATTTTCTTTATGAATTTAGTTGAATGGGCTGACAGTGGTTCAACATTTACGTGTGTTAAAGGTATTGAGTATATTGATTGTTTAGGTGGATATGGAATTTACAAGTAAGAAACACAATAAAATATAAATTTAATTTTAATTTGTCTTTTTCCTGATAACATTTTAAGTGTTGGTCATCGTCATCCAAAAGTTTTAAAAGCAGTTACTGATCAATTAAATCGTCAAGCACTTCATTCACAAGAATTGCTTGATCCATTACGTGGTTATTTAGCTAAAATTTTAGCTGATTTAGCACCAGGCAATTTGAAATATACATTTTTTACTAATAGTGGTACAGAATCAGTCGAAGGTGCATTAAAAATGGCTATGCTTGCAACTGGTCGACGAACTATGATTGCTGCTGTTGGAGGTTTTCATGGCAAAAGTTTAGGTTCATTAAGTGCAACATCAAAGTAAGAGAGAAAGAAAACAAAAAGATTTCAATATGATAATGATTTCTTTCGTATTTTCTAGAGCTGTTTTTCGAAAACCATTTTTACCATCATTACATAATATGCGTCATATTCCATTTAATGATTTACATGCACTTGAACAAACATTAGCTTGCCTTCAATTTACTGGAGACGATGCTGGTAAGATCTTTTTTATTTATTTATTATGAATTTAAGTATTAAATGAAACTATTATTTTTTAGCTGCTGTTTTACTTGAACCAATACTTGGTGAAGGTGGTGTAATTGTACCAAGTGATGATTATTTTCCAGGTGTACGTCGTTTATGTGATAAATATGGTGCTTTATTAATTGCTGATGAAGTTCAAACTGGTATGGGACGAACAGGAAAAATGTTTTGTGTTGAACATTGGAATGTTGAACCAGATATATTATGTTTGGGAAAAGCTTTCGGTGGTGGAATTATGCCAGCAGGTAAATAAATTGATAAAATAATTAAATTTGAAATTTTTATTATTTATCTTTTCTTTTTGTTTTTTCTTAAGGTGCTTTTATTGGCTCAGAAAAATTATGGGCGCCAATATTTTCAAATCCATTTTTACATACAACAACATTTGGTGGTAATCCATTAGCATGTGCAGCTGCAATAGCAACAATAAATGTTTTACTTGAAGAACGTTTGTGTGATCGTGCACGAACTGTAGGTGATATATTCTTAAGTAAACTTAAATCAACTATTAAACCTTATTCACCACATATGGTACTTGATGCTCGTGGTAAAGGTTTAATGATAGCTTTAGAATTTCCTGATACAGATATTGGTTTTCGTGTTTCAAAAGGTTTATTTCGAGAAAAAGTTCTTGTTGCTGGTACATTAGTTAATGCTAAAACAATACGTATTGAACCACCATTAACAATAACATTAGAACAAGTTGATCAGGTTATTATTGCATTAAGTAAAGTATTAAAAGAAATTGCAAGTGAAATGAAAGTTCAATTCATAAATGAATCAATTGTTAAACCAATACCATTAAATAATCTTCAACAAACTGTACTTTCAAGACAATTGTAAACTAGAATAAGAATCATACATTGTCTTTTTCTTTTATTTACTTGTTTTAGAATGTGTTCACTCTTTTTTTTTCTTTTGATTGATTGTGGTATTTCATATGAATAAATTCAATAATGTAATTCTTATTTCTTTATCTGATAAGATAATGCTAGTTTTATCACTTAGAATCATGTGAAAGAAAATTTTGTCATATGTGAAGAATACGATTTCGTCTGATGAAAATGAACAATAGAAAAATTTTTTGGAGAGAAATTATCAATAAGTTTTATTCTAAAGAAAGATTTACTAAATTTCTGAAATTAAATTTTCATCATCGATCAATCAATTGCTGTGTTTTCGGTTATTCAAATAACACGCATGAAATTTAAGCAAGAACAAAATTAGTTACAAATTATGTTTCGATTGACTGACAGGTAGCATATCTATCGTAAGAATGGTAAATTCACTGTCGAAAACATTGAAGAATTATCAATAATTGTTTCTTCTACTGGTCCCAACTCTTGTAATTAGACGCTTAGAAGAGCATTTATAGACAGCTATGAAAATTCAAGTTTTTCTACGACATTTAAATGATATATAATTTAACGCTTGTGTTACTATATTAATCATTTGATCAAGATTTCAAAATGATTTCATAGACTAGAGATATCTATTCAATACTCCCGTAATAGTTATTCATCTTGCTTATTATGAAACACAATCAAAAAGGAGTATCGAAATATAGCGGAAAATATTTGGACCCAATCTCTTCTTCTTATAGACTGTGACAAACGTATTTATGGCAACATCAAAGACTTTATATCAATAATATCCTGCTATGATATATGAACTACTTCCATATTGCATTTCTGAAGGATTAAGTAAAAGGATGGTGAAGAAATGTGTCCAAAAAATCAACAAAATAAGATCATTTCTCTGTTATTAGTAACAGTAGATACCTTGTGTTTCACATTTTAACTCTGCAGAAGTTGCGCTAACAACTTTATTAATACAAACCTCTAACGAGGGAAATCTTCCCAACTGATTAATTGCCTTGGACTCTGCACTATGAATATTTCTGAAGAGACTTTAAGTCCTTAGCTCGTTGCTACTGAGATACTGCATTTTTACGAATTTCTTTTTACAGTAAATATTGTGGTTACCTTCAAGAACATTAGAATTTGAAGTTTTTCACACTGACAGATCTTTACCAAAATAGTTTATTGTGAAGGTTTCCAGTCTTTTGGTTTGCTCTTTCCCTATAATAAGAACATTAAATCTGTTGATGTAAATGAGAGCAGTATAAAAAACAAGCTTTTATCAAGGTTGTATCTTATGACAAGAACAACGAAAATATTTGAAACTTTCAAAATAACATTATTCTTGTCAAGACTTGTCTTTGTGCAGAGCTTCAAGCCCTAGTATTCCTGAGGGTGACCACAGTTTTGACTTTTAGAAAAGTCGTAAAAATGCAGAATATTAGCAGTAATAAGCGTAGAACTCGGCTTCTTTTCTGTGTGTGCATAGTTCATTAGGATCTACATGGTGTGCATAGTCTCAACTGAGAAGTGATTCATTACTAGGGGTACTTTCCTCGTAAGGCTGATGATTTCAGATTTTTAACAGATATCCTGATATTTATTTCAAATATACAATAGTGTAAGGGTGATGGTTTATTCTCTTGCTCTGTGACTATTTAAATGATAGCTGAATTTGTGTATTAAAGGAAAAGTTTTAAAGTATTGACATCATCAAGATTTTGACAATAGGTCAGATGACCGGACTCTATCTCGCGGCAAAGTTTATCTGATCTGGCTTCCATCGAGGTACTTGCCGTTAACTTTCATTACATAGTCCAAATGTTTGAAAAAATATCACAGAAACAAGTCACGGCATTCTACTATTTAACACGGCTAGGATATTAAAATAACTGAAAGGATGCTTTCGTAATAATTTTAGAATTCTCTTGATTTGAAATAATGAAATTATTTTATTTTATTTTCTGCTCGAAGAACAAAATAAAATTTATTCGATTAACTTTTATAATAAAACTATGATAAACATTGATATCGTATCTAACACGTTTTTTTTTTCTATCCGTTAAAATATTGATGATTATTTTCATAATATTTTTGTATAACTATTGTGATAAAATCTTTAAATATTCGTTTCAAAAAAACGAATAAATGATTATATTGATTTTACTACTTGTGTTTTAGGCCATATCAGTTATCTTATTTTGTCGTATTCTTTCGTTCATGATTTCGCATATACGAACTATTCGATATAAAGAAAAGAAATATATATGATGTGAAACGATCACATTATTATTTACAATAATCCCTCGTCTTAACAAACAATAATGGCTGAACAAAATATTGAGGTATCAAATGATTATCCATGTAAACAATCAAATCTTTCAATGAAACTTATATTCGATATTTTAACTCCACGACCTCATTTTATTATTGTTCAACATAAAGAAAATCGTAAATTAAATGCCACTGAAAATGAAATTCAACAAGTTATAGAACTTGTTTCAGAATTTCTTCTGAATAAACCACAATATGATAATAATGCTATTTTATCATTTCATCGTGGAAAATGGTATCAACAAAATCATAAACATTTTCATGCACATTTATGTGTACCAAAAAAACCTTATTGTCAAGAAGCAAAAATTATGGTATGTAGTAGAAAAATTCTTTTTTTTTTTTCTCCTTAAATCTTCGTTATATTATTAGATAACATCAAAAACAACAAATAATCATTGGTTATCATCAATAGATTATTTAAATCAATTGCATAAAGATTTTATTTTATCAAAACTAAAATATAATCAATATCAAAATAAATGTATATTAATGGCATATTTATGTTTTAATGATCCTGTATCATATTATGTACCACTTTATCAATTTAATACATCAATATTTAAACTTGTTTTTCTTGCTTCAACACCACGTATTGGTATTATAACAGAAAATGCAAATATTGATTTAAAGATTTTATATTATTTTATGAATAATTTTTATTTATCAGCAAGAAAAAAACTTTCAGTAATTAATTCTTTATATGAAAATTTTGGTGTTCATTTATGTTTACATGTTCGTGGAAGAAAACAAAATAAATTGCATTTAGTTCAACGTTTTGATAGAATTTTAGTTAATGATAGTGATCCAATAAGATTAGTACGTATTGTTGGTTACATACAAATGGATGAACAACTTTATCTTCGCTGGTTACCAACAATTTTTCATCAAATTTGGTTAAATGAATTTCAAAACAATCAACATCTTGTTCAAACATAAAACTTTTGCTTTTTTTATAGATTGAATTTATATTAGCGTTGAACTGTATTTATTATTGTTTTATTTTTAATAGATAAGCTAACATATAGTATAGAATTTTGGTTTTTTAATAAAAAACAAACAAACAAACGTTTTGTTATGTTAATAACGATTTCTGCACATATAATAATCATCAAAAAGTAATGATGATAGTTATTTTCTGAATAACTATTGATAGAAATGAAGAAGAGAGAGCCACAGTTTTCATTATTCAAGAGAGAACATTGAAGACCATCAAAAGTAAATCGAAATCTAATTTGTCAGTGAATGACCAATCAGGTAAGCTCTTAGCGAAGATTTTGAAATTATCTTCCATTCGATTTACAGAAACTCCAACTTCATAGCCGCTTCCTTTCAAGAGTTCCAAGAGCTTCTTTGAAACAAAAAAAAAAGACATCATCATTCGACTCAGTATAATGAATTAATCCTATTTAGAGCTCTTTTGAAACTGTCTGAAGTCAATTTTCTGTAATCGTGGATCTTAGAAAAATCTTTGGAATTCTTGTATGAAAATGGTTACAAAGTTAGAGTTTACGAAGATTAAAAGGGAAGACTTTTTTCCACTGATTGGCTAGATTAAACATCAAAATCTAATGAAAAACGATTTCAAAATCTTGTTTCAAAACCTTTGCAAAACACTTACCGGATTAGTCAATTGCTGGTCAGTCAGATTTCGATTTATATTCGATGGCTTCGAGTATTCTTTTGTGAAATATATAATAACTAGAGATGGATCTTCAACTGTTATCATTTAAGAAAGTGAAGCTACAAATAGTTTTGGTGATATTCACAAGCCTTGAAGTCCAGATACGTTCATTATATCATCATGAAGGCCTACTGTTGATCGTCTCTGTTACATTGAATTCCACCTTGATATTTTGCCTTTCGTCAGATGCGTAGAAAAAGCTAATTGTGTCATTTTATCATGAGGGACGTGCGCTTGACAGACGAAGAAATACAAGTGTCTTTTTCGTCCATTTTATCTGCATTTGAAAAAACAAAGAGAAAAATAGTACTTTGCAAAGAACGGACAAAAGAAATGATTTTTATTCATACAAGAAAAATTTAGAAAAAGAATTTATAATTTTTTTTTTCTTGAAAAGTAATTCATTTATCAAATGAATGATGGCCACGATGGCTTGTTGGCTACGTTGTTCGACACATATTCATAAGGTACTGTGTGCAAACCTCAGTATCACTAGACATGGAATGATTTTGAACAATCCACTAACGGCTACTTGTCTCGAATTACATCTATCTGACGACATATTGACTACGTTGTGGCATACATCTACTCTTGTAGCTAGTTAATGTATACGAAGAGCTAAAAAAATTGAGCACAAAAGCTGTGAGTAAGAGTGTGGGTGTAGATCTTTTGAAAATGAACGATATAAATCTAAGTTAGTTTCAAATGATTAACCAAGTTTTAGAGATTATCGATTAATATTTATTATGATCATGAAGCAATTAAACTGGATGAATAAACAAATGAAGTGATTTTGTTATAGGCTTACGGGTAGAAATTCGGTTCTCCTGAAAAATATCGAAAGTGAAATGCTGAAAATAAAAATGTCGAGAGTAAAAATGCCGAATATAAAAATATCGAAAACAAACATTCTACTGTTTGAAATTGTGTGTGTGCAAGATTGAAGAGTCCCTCAGCGAATCCAA